TTCCATATCACTTTGTACTTACATATTTAAACCATTTATTTGCATTTTTGGGTAAATCGGCTCTGAAATGATTTCTTTGCCTCCTCAGATATGGCTCCTACTCTACCAACAACAGCACAAACTTCCTCACTAACATCCTGAAATATGTAAGAAAGTGATTGTGACACAGCTTCAACTCCTGGATCAAACCATCAAACTCTCAAAAACACAATGCTTTCGGTGTGTAGATTTTTCCGATCTGAAAAATTCATAGTTTATCATTTTTGCAATATGTAATGGCCTTAATGTCAAAAGCAGAGAGGGTGCCTGTCTCCTGAATCTAAATCCAAGCTGGCTAACAGAAGATGGGTCTGAAAACTGAGGGATGAGACTGAGTCTCCCTATCTACTTTTAAATACCCTAGGAACCAAAAGTAACCCACCAGTTCAAACCCTAAGAACAGATATTGACATATAGATAAAACAGTTCACTCTTAAAAGATTACCAGTGGATGGAATGGAAGGTCTTATATCGGATATCTGCGGACTTTAAGGAAAGCCCTGAAAATTTAGCAGTTGTCCCCAGAAGCAAATCAGCTAACTAGCTGACAGGTCTCCAGACCCGTAGGGAATTTTGACTCTTTCTGCAAAGTAACATTACTTTTGTGATTAACTCTAGTAGGGCTGCCACGATTAGTCGACTAGTCACGATTACGTCGACTATCAAAATCGTCGACGACTGATTTAATAGTCGACGTGTCGTTTGAAGCTTTGTAAGATCGCAAAAGACGCAGGAATAATAGCAGGATTTAAGAGTGTAATAACGGACTGAAACAGAAGATGGCAGCACTGCATGTACAAGGATGCCAGCTGCCGTTAAACCCCGAAGAAGAAGAAGCAGCTGTGTCCCAGAATTCATAGCGCGGCCCAGCTTAGTTTCCAACAATGGCGGCAGCTAGTTAGTTTTAATATTACTCTTATTATTCTTTCTGGGTCACAAAATAAACGTTTAACATATTTTCAGGCGAGAATGTAGCTGTGTAAACCTCAAATATCGGCTCAGTTTATCAGGACACCACATATTTTCAAAAGCGCTCCGACGTTTTCGGAGATGTCTGTTACCCACTAGCTCGATAGCTAGCCGGGGGCTAGGTCACTAGCGCCGTGAGAACACCGGACTCCCGGCAAATTGTTTTCAAACCCACCGCCGTCTTTCGCGACTCAGGTTAAATATATATGAGTCACTTAGATAAATTAAAAATGTTGTTGTTTGGCTTTTTTTTTTTTTTTAGTATTTTATTTGTTCCTGAGTAAATCGGTTTGTCTGAGATTAAAGTTATAGTTTTTACACAGCTGAATAAACGTCAAGCAGACAGCTGATTATCAGAAGTGTGAGATGCTGGAGAATATACTCCGGTGTCCTGTTATATTTTAGATAGCAAGGAGTTTATTAAACTTTACCAAAACAATCTGCAAATTTCATTAAAATTGAATAAACTATCATCTTGTCTTTATTTTTAGTTAGCACCTTAAAAGCTTAAAGCTGTAAGCTAATGATAGTTATATAAGAGCAGATGCTGCTGGTGCAATAAGCTGTAGTTTTACGTCCAGTGGATGATGATCTGATTAGTCGACTAATCGCATAAATAATCGGTGACTAGTCGACTATCAAAATAATCGTTTGTGGCAGCCCTAAACTCTAGCACACACAGCAGGATTGCTTCTCGTGACTTAACTGCAGGAAACCAGAGCCCAGCGTTACAGAATTCTGTTATCTGGATTCACTTACGCTAACAGCTGCAATCAGTGTAAGCAGTCATATGAAGCTGGTTATCAGCACACTAAGGTAAACCAGGGTATCTCTGCGCATTCACATTATACGGGTGGAAGCATCTGAACAGTCCCACTTGTGTGTAAGTGTACTGGAAGCAGAACGGTTGACTTTACAAAGAAAGATTAAAAAAAAAGTATAATATTAGAAAAATCTGAAGAGGTTAAACACATAATACAGACTAAAAGCAACACAACCTCTGCAGACAAAGCAGCAGTATGAGAGGAAAACATTGTACTGAAAGCACTGAATGAACTTTGAATGGTTGAATGAATGGCAGCCTAAGGCCCTTTGGTCAATAAGACTGGACAAGAGCTACTACGTTAATAAGGTTCAGACAGGCAGGAAGGAAAGCTGTCAAAAATGCAGACTGTACATTAAGAGACACCAACATTACAACTCTGTCATTGAGAAGCAAGAGAATCTGATCAACTATAATCAAGCATTTCATTCAATTAAAGTTTAGAAGACAGTTTGAGTTTTTACTCTTTCAGCTGCAGCCTTGGTGGTGTTTAACGGTTTGAAAGCAAGTACTGAATAAAGGCTTGGACTCTGATTTGATACAAAATCCACAAGTGTAAATAGGCCTGCAGTTTTATTTTACTACCTACCCACAGAGGTCAGAGGGATCTTTGAGCTCATTGGTCATTGGGTTGGCATGTCGTACCTGCTGATTTCAAATCTAGAACATGACCATCTCTGGAGCAGCATGAGGTACCATGGTGATATACCCTGATAAGAAGTGAACCACAGAAAACCCAGGGTTAACCCTGAAGTTACCCGGATAAGACAAAATCCTGCTCTGTAATATAGTCTTTAGGTCGAATCGTGAGCAGCAACCAATTAATTTTTAACAACACGTGTAACTGCAAAGACCAGCAGACAGAATGCAAGTATTTAACACATCCAGATGACACATTATCTCCACAATGAAGCATAAATTGGCTAAAGAGACAATCACTGGTAGAGACCAAAATCAGAACAAGAAGGGAGAAAATTCATTTATAGGACTAAAACACAAGATCCCATAAGGAATAATCATGCTGGCTTGAAATGAAATTAAGTGTCAATGGGTAGCATGCTATTGATGATGTGATCAACTGATCAGACACCCAAATCATCCAATTCCCAGTGTTCTCAGCCCTGACCGGTGCCCAGCTGGTCAGCCTCATGTAAGCAGCCTCAAGAATGAGGTGATGCATTTCATGCATGCACAATACGTGCACAGTGGCACCGGCAAACAGTCACAGACACTCACAGCTACAAGCTAACATCTTGTTAGCGTGGAAGCTCCTTACTATGAGGGAAAACAAAAAATATACCAAAGTGAATCACTGGGAGACCACCACCTAAACATTCATAACAGCAAACCTTAATCAGACACTTAAAGCACCCTCACACAAGTGAACATGGACATTTTAAAGAAGCTAACAAAGGAAAAGTGGCTAGCAGCCTCGTTATAAGCAAAGGTCTTAGAGAGAAAATTAGTAAAAATCTGTAAAAATCAGAATCTGCCAATGAAACTGTAATCAGTGCAGCTAAAAAAATTACTCGTAAAAAATGCATGTCAATTTTTTCTAGCAAATTTCACAGCATATCTCTGGAGACTGAGGTTTCATGATAAGACAAAACCACATCATATTGATCTAAGAGGTAAAAACTGATTAATCGAGATAATTAATAGCAGATCAATCTCTTAAAGCTGATATTCCCATCCTGCAAATTTTCACAAGTCACAGGTCACTTGCCAAAACTATACCACTTCACCATTAAGGTGGCAAGATTTAAATAAAAGAAATATTCATAACAAATAATAAATTGTGCAACAAACTGAGCTCGAACACTTGGATGATGCTCAGAGAGAATCTCTCTTGGAGGCCTGGTATTGGTTCATCCTGAGTCACCTAACCATCAGATTTAAGGAAGTGTTTGTTATTAACACTCCCTGACGCCATCTCTCCATGGTGCTGAGGACGTCACCCGGGCAATGTGTTACCAAGAACATCTTGTTTATCCTGAGCTTCTCAGCATCAGCACATGGTAAACTAAAGACTGCTTTAGTCTAGTAATTTGTTCAAATTAAACCTATTTACACTTTTTTTTACTGCATTATTATTTAATTTGACATTTAATGAGGATTTCCCTTATAGATTTTACACAAACTGGTAGAGTGAGCTATAAAGAAAATAATCTTCCTTTGTTAGCTTTCCTCAACATTTCCCCTTAATTACTCTCTTATTTCTTAAAAACTCCAATAGAGCCAGACGTAATAGCTGTGACATTCCTTTTCTCAATTTCCACTATAATTAATACCAAACGCCACTCAGTTTATTGGAAATACTCTTTTAATTTACAACTAAACATCCAGGAAATATCCAGGAAATGAGCCAGACCCATAAAACCCTCAATTTGGTAATGGCTCCATGGCTATGACAGCATGTGAAAGCAGGTGACTGGTGTGAGCATGACAATGACAAAGGCAGCTCTGTGTGTGCTGCTGAAGGGTCGTCAAGGTGACTTGATAGCAAGGGCATCCTTTCCTCCACCACAGCTGATCTCCCCTGCACACACCCCAAAACCAAAGACCAGCATCACATAAGCTCACACAGCAGCAGGGCCAGCATTTAAACGCCACCAAACACACACAGAAAAACCCATCACACCGCCTCTCAGGTGCAAAGAGTAGAGTGAACAGATGTGCATTTGCAATTAATCTCCTGGATTTTCTAGAAGCAGAAGTGCTGAGCCTCTATTTGGTCACTTTCAGTCCTCATTTATTCGCCTTTTCATTTCTTTCTTTTTTTACTCTTAGTGACTTCTAGCCTCACTCCGGCTGGATTACACTTTTAATTGGAGAATCTGTTGAACAATAGGCGGATCCAGAGCCCCGTTGTTACAGACACCTCTGTTCTCCCCGCTGGCTGAAAAGCGCCACGGCACCGCGTTAAGTTGTCAATAGCGAGTCCCCGTTAATCAAAATGAATAAACAGTCACTAACAGAGCTTCGGTTCTGGTTTCACCCCGCTGTTTCACACTGAGCTCGGAAGGATGAAGTAACGAGAGAGAGATAGAAAGGGGGTAGAAAAGGCATCAGCGCCTTCCAGTAAACCGCTCAGCGGGCTGACAGGAGCGTGTCATCTACCGGGGAAATGAAACACACACACCGGTCTAAAACACAGCAGAGAGCGCACCTCTCCGTACCTTACCGGGTCACACAGCGGAAGATTCGATAGATGCTCCGCAAATCCGCAAATTGCGTCAGCGTAATAAATCCCGGTGTTTGTGAGTGTGTGTGTGTGGGGGGAGAAGCTGGGAACAATCCTCCGTGTGTCTCTTCTCAGGCGCTCTCAGCCAGCAGTCACCGATACACCGCCGCCGCCGCTGCTGCTGCTGATGCCTCCGGTAGGAAGAAACCTTGGAGCGCGTCACCGACAGATAGAGAGAGGCAGAGAGGCAGAGAGAGAGAGACGTGCACGACGGCAGGGTCTGGTGTCTGTCAGCGGCCGGTGGAGCCTGGGACAGCAGGGGGGGATAGAAGTGAGTCGGGGGGTAGTCGTCAAACTAGGTTATGACATGAAATAATAAGAAATAAAGAAAGCGCTTATTGGTTTGATATTTCATCTTCAGCAATTAACCGGGCATTGAGGTAGAAATTTGGAGCCACATTATTGAGAACCAACTGAATTTTTGTTGGCAGCAAAGCCAGAGCTCTTTATCCCAGAGTAAAAAGACAAGCTCCCATACCTGAGTCCTCTCTACAGGTCATTGTTGTTACTTCACCAGGATCCGGAGCTCTAAAGCAGAAACAGTGAGTTTGGTTTCTACTGCTGGTCAGACTTTAAACCAGGTGTTGTTCCAAAAAAGTGATTTCCTATGTGTGTGTGTGTGTTTTATGTGTAATGTCTTTGCTTATATTGGAGAATAGACTAAAGACGACAGGATTTATGAAGGGTTTGTTTCTGCTGCCCTCTTGGCCAGATCAGTTAAAGCAAAAGTGAGCCTTTTTAGCTGGATAGAAAAAGATAAAAGTCACTTTGTCAAAAGCTCCAGTTTCTGCCTTGTGATAGAAATTCAGTTAAATTCTTAGGTAGTTTAGCGCCAAATCACAACAGCTGTTCCATCGTGCTGATTTATATTGCACAATAAAACAGAGAAAACCCCAAAAATCTGATGCATAAGCACACAGTGGGATTGAAAAACTCCCCTTTAGCAGTATGACATTTCTGCAGCAGAACCAGGCTCAGGGAGGGGCACCCATCTACTGTGACCGGCTGTGGGTGAGGGGAGTAAGACAACAAAGACACACTGTGGAAGAGAGCCAGAGATTAATGGGTTAACCCTATAATTAATGAGAGATATTTTTGATGTATGTTTCACAGATTATAGGCCAACAGGTCATTTTCAACAGCTTAAATCTGAACATCTGATCAGTTATTTGTTTCTTCAGTGACACGTCACACTGTAACAGGGTGTGCTTTACTACTTCTGCCTCGAAAAACCTCAGTGGAGCCAGCTTTAGGTTTAATACAGAGATCAATATTTTACCACTGAGCAGAATCTCACTCTGCAGTGTTCCTAAACCTGCTAACTCACTTCACTCAGGAGTCAAACTGACGCTTTGCTTTTTTCCTCCACCAGGCACACACTCTTATAAAACAATGAAAACAAGTACAGTAAAATTGGGCTTTTAACTGAGGTTCATTTATCCAACAAAACGCTTGAAGTCAATCAAAAATAATAAGGTTTAAACAACTAAAAGGGACTAAAATGTTCGGAACTCTGAATAATTAAGTTAGGAATACATTTCTTTTGATGCACATTTACACAGCTTTTAATGTGTTTACATATTATAAGCATCTACATTCCTAGTGCAGTGAAATGTCCACTTGTAAAACTCTTTTCTTACTTACACAGATCTATGCAGTAATAATGACACTAGTTTGTTGCGGCAGCCTCACTGTACTTCCATGGTTATACAAGACTTGTATATTGGATGTGCTTTGTGTTTGTATTAATGAGACAGTCATTGAGAGAGAGAAAAAAATGGAGGACATCATTAACCTGCAAAAATGTAACCTTTGTTACCCTCCTAATAATGACTCACAGTCCTGTCAGGTTTGGCACCCGTGGACATGGCCCGATGCTGTTTTTTTCTATTCTTTCTTGGCTTGGCGGTGATGTTCTGAAGAATTTTTTATTCATAATTACATTTGTCTGTCATCAGTGATCCCTCAGTAGTCTCAAGGCTTTTGTTGTTGCTGAGCTCATCAGTGCATATTGCACCAGAGTGTTGACTGACCACAGTAACTAGAGTTTTTCTTTTTTCAAAGCTTAATGATGTCCTCCTTCCTTTGGGCTAGCATCCGTTTTGACTACCACGTTTAAGATTCCCGTAAACTGCAGCCAAATGCAAATGCAGCACTTGGAACACACTCCACACCTTTAATCTTCTTAAATTTGTCATGAAATCTTGAGAAAAAAAGCCACCTTTGTCCATGAACCAAATCGCTCTCCATTGTAATCGCATAGTGCATTATTTTGAGAAATTCACTGAACTTTATTCACAGCTTGATTTAATCATTTCCCACTAACTGTGGTGAGGCACAAAAAACATGCAGAAATACTTGACAGAAAATGTAAGTGCCCAGTCTCAGAAGTAAGGACCCTTTTACTGCTGTTACACTGGCATTTTTAGATTAAATATGGCAACCCATGCAGCAGCCAGCTGCAATAAGTGGTCAAAAAATGAAATTACTTCAAACGCTATGACTGTTTTAATAAGCATTAGTAAATGATTACCTAATCTATAATGAGTTAAGCCATCGCATACAATCTTTCCACTTAGTGAAAGCAGAAAATACATGCCTGTTCCTGACAAGCAGGATCAATACAGTACATTATCATTAAATTAAATATAGTTGCAGTCAGATAGACACATTAGGCAGATGAATGAGTCGTATGGCCTTCTTTATTTTTGTAACACTTTATGCCAATGCCAAAAAACCCCACACAGATATAGATGGAAATAGGCACCAATCCCAGTGGAGAAATATAAATATATGCGGATAATAAATTCTTCAGCAGCAGTAGAAGCAGGCTGTAACCTTGGCAGGAGAGTTGACAGGGAGCTTCAGTCCCAGTGGGCAGCCAGAGTGGGAAAATAGAAAGCTGCAGCAGAGACATCCACTGGGGACAAGCATCACATTTCATATACACGACGCAAGGAGGCCTGCAAGGCCTGAGATGGGGCTTAAAGCATGTAGCCTGGTAACACACAGTGAGGTAAAACACATCTGTATGTGTGAAGCTTCCTGTTTCTGGTTGGTAAGTTGCTGAGAAGTTTGAAATGTGTTCTCAAACATGCAGGCTGACGGTGAGGAAGCAGGTGGTATCTGAGCTGGATATCTGGCGTCCCCTGGTGGTAGCTCAGGGCACATGCAATCGATCAATTTAAAGTGTACTACATGCAACTATGAACATGTTAGTCAGCTAAAACAAAGCAATAATGAAAATTGAACAAAATAAAGTCATATATATATATATATATATATATATATATATATATATAACACCCAGCACGCCCCTGCGGGCGGTTTATCCTTCAAGCTCGGGTCCTCTACCAGAGGCCTGGGAGCTTGAGGGTCCTGCGCAGTATCTTAGCTGTTCCCAGGACTGCGCTCTTCTGGACAGAGATCTCCGATGTTGTTCCCGGGATCTGCTGGAGCCACTCGCCTAGCTTGGGAGTCACCGCACCTAGTGCTCCGATTACCACGGGGACCACCGTTACCTTCACCCTCCACATCCTCTCGAGCTCTTCTCTGAGCCCTTGGTATTTCTCCAGCTTCTCGTGTTCCTTCTTCCTGATATTGCTGTCATTCGGAACCGCTACATCGATCACTACGGCCGTCTTCTTCTGTTTGTCTACCACCACTATGTCCGGTTGGTTAGCCACCACCATTTTGTCCGTCTGTATCTGGAAGTCCCACAGGATCTTAGCTCGGTCATTCTCCACCACCCTTGGGGGCATCTCCCATTTTGACCTCGGGACTTCTAGGTTATACTCGGCACAGATGTTCCTGTACACTATGCCGGCCACTTGGTTATGGCGTTCCATGTATGCCTTGCCTGCTAGCATCTTGCACCCTGCTGTTATGTGCTGGATTGTTTCTGGGGCATCTTTACACAGCCTGCACCTGGGGTCTTGCCTGGTGTGATAGACCCCAGCCTCTATGGATCTTGTACTCAGAGCTTGTTCTTGTGCTGCCATGATTAGTGCCTCTGTGCTGTCTTTCAGTCCAGCTTTGTCCAGCCACTGGTAGGATTTCTGGATATCAGCCACCTCCTCTATCTGCCGGTGGTACATACCGTGCAGGGGCCTGTCCTTCCATGATGGTTCCTCGTCTCCCTCCTCTTTCTTGGGTTTCTGCTGCCTGAGGTATTCACTGAGCACTCGGTCAGTTGGGGCCATCTTCCCAATGTATTCTTGGATGTTCCTTGTCTCATCCTGGACTGTGGTGCTGACACTCACCAGTCCCCGGCCCCCTTCCTTCCGCTTAGCGTACAGCCTCAGGGTGCTGGACTTGGGGTGAAACCCTCCATGCATGGTCAGGAGCTTTCTTGTCTTTATGTCAGTGGCTTCTATCTCCTCCTTTGGCCAGCTTATTACCCCAGCAGGGTACCTGATCACGGGCAGGGCGTATGTGTTGATGGCCCGGATCTTGTTCTTACCATTCAGCTGACTCCTCAGGACTTGCCTGACCCTCTGCAGGTACTTGGTGGTTGCAGCCTTTCTAGCGGCCTCTTCATGGTTCCCATTTGCCTGCGGGATCCCCAGGTACTTGTAACTGTCCTCTATGTCTGCAATGTTGCCTTCTGGTAGTTCAATCCCCTCAGTTCTGACTACCTTCCCTCTCTTTGTTACCATCCGACTACACTTCTCCAGTCCGAACGACATTCCAATGTCATTGCTGTATAGCCTGGTAGTGTGGATCAGTGAATCGATGTCTCGTTCACTCTTGGCATACAGCTTGATGTCATCCATGTACAGGAGGTGGCTGACAACTGCTCCGTTCCGTAGTCGGTATCCGTAGCCAGTCTTGTTAATGATCTCACTGAGGGGGTTCAGGCCTATGCAGAACAGCAGTGGGGACAGAGCATCTCCTTGGTAGATCCCGCACTTGATGGTAACTTGTGCTATGGGCTTGGAGTTGGCCTCTAGTGTTGTACGCCACATCCCCATTGAGTTCCTGATGAAGGCTCTTAGGGTCCCATTGATCTTGTACAATTCTAGGCATTCCAGTATCCAGCTGTGGGGCATTGAGTCATAGGCCTTCTTGTAATCAATCCAGGCAGTGCACAGGTTGGTCAGTCTGGTCTTGCAGTCTCGGCTGATTGTTCTGTCTACCAGTAGCTGGTGTTTTGCGCCTCTGGTATTCTTGCCAATTCCTTTCTGTGTCCCGCTCATGTATTGACCCATGTGCCTGTTCATCTTAGCCGATATGATGCCTGACAGGAGCTTCCATGTAGTACTGAGGCAGGTTATTGGTCGGTAGTTGGAGGGGACCGGTCCCTTCTTGGGGTCCTTGGGGATCAGGACCGTCCGGCCTTCAGTTAGCCATTCTGGGTGTCTTTCGTTAACTAGCAGCTGGTTCATTTGTGCTGCCAGACGCTCGTGGAGTGCAGTCAGCTTCTTCAGCCAGTAGGCGTGAACCATGTCGGGCCCTGGTGCTGTCCAACTCTTCATACTGGAGACCCTTTCTTGGATATCTGCCACTGTGATGGTTACTGGACCCTGTTCAGGGAGGTCGCTGTGGTCTGCCCTCAGATCCTCTAGCCACTGAGCATTGCCGTTATGGGTTGCATCCTTCTCCCATATGCTCTTCCAGTATTGCTCCGTCTCCAGCCTTGGTGGTGCTGTTCTCTTATTGTTCCCTTGCCACTGAGAGTACACCTTTGCTGGTTCTGTGGAGAACAGCTGGTTTATTCTCTCTTGTATACCTCCTCAAGCGGCTGGCCAAGGCTGTGAGTCTTTGCTTGGCAGTTTCCAAGGCCTCAGATATGGACAGCTTGCTGTATTTCTTAGGCACCTTATTTGTCGCACCTTTCTGCAACTCCGTTAGTTGGCTAACCTCCCTCCGTGCTACTTTGATCTTGCCCTCTAGCCTCCTTCTCCATGGAGGGTACTGCCCCTTGTGGCTATATATATATATATATATATATAGAGAGAGAGAGAGATACAGGTATATAGTTTCAACACTTTTGCATTTGGCTACTGACAATAAAATAAATAACATATAATATGACAGAATATAGTATATCATAAAAAAGTCATATATAAATAAATAATAATGATAAAAAATTAAAATGATTAAAAAGAAAAAAGTGCAGAAATATACAAAGGAAAACAATTGAATGTTTTTATTAAATGTTGAAATGAATACTCCCAGCTATTTGGGTACTTCTGGCTGTTTTTTTTTTTAATTATTACTTTTGTATCATAAAGTATAAAAGAGTTTACGAGCCACAGAAGCACATTTTACCCCATCACGCAGTAAAACCCTTCCTGCATGCCTTCGAGTTCCTTCACTGACCTCTCCCAGCAGCACCATCAGCACATTTTTTTTCTTTTTGTTTTTCTTTCTCTTTACTTTGTTGTGCTCTTGCACCCGATTTTAATTACGTTGCTGACACTGTGGCTCACAAATAACCCATGGGAAAATCCAACATCCTCCTGCTCATCAGGTGAGTCAGATTTCCACATAGAAAGAGACAGAGCTGACATTCGCAGCCCTGCTGTTCCTCATTCCTCGCGTCTAGCAGCGGTCTGTGCTGTGAAAGCAAAGCAGCTGACAAACTGTCCTGTGTACTGTACAGATTTCAGGGGCAAATCCTGTACACTGTATTCACACTGACGCTTGCTTTTGTTTATATTAGACAGTATATGAGTATAATAAATGGGTTATAATATGTTGTAAAGCTGGTGTAAATAGGGAACAAAGAATGCATTAATGACTTTACTTAGAGCTTGAGACAGCTGTAATGATATAAAATATTTCTGACAAATACTGTGCTTTAATCAGTTCCTTAAAAAGCTGGTCTTAGTTTATTCCAACTTCATTGTAGTAAATAATAAACTAGTCACTACTTGGTTTTTTGATGCTTACAAATGCTAAATAGAGGAAGTTTGACGTTGACCACATGGACTGTACATACAGGGATCATATGCTCTGGCAATTACCATAATTTCCATCATGACAAAATATGATTAATAATGTGGTGCTACTACTTATGTTACGCCACTCATATCAATTAAGGTTACAAAATACCCTGATTTTAATTCCATTTGAACTTTAACCTTCTTTATCCCATTTATCTGCTTTCTTTTCAGCTTTTTTATTTATTTATTTATTTTTACATTATGCTAGTATCATTCAAACACTAAAATATAGTTAATCCTGTCACTCTGTAATTCTTTCATAAACAACAAATTACAATCAAGTTATAATTTACATTTATGCACGGTCAGTATGCATGGAGGGAGTCAGGAAAGAGATCCAACAGTGAGTGTCAACAGCTATCTGTAAAACATGGTGGAGGCTGTGTAATGGTTTGGGTTTGCATTTCAGCCAGTGGTGTTTGATGTCTTGTTACAATCAAAAATAGAGTTGCATTTTCATCCACCATGTAGTTCCATGTAGGCCTGTACACGTTTCAACAAACTGCTGCACCTATTTCCCATTTTCCTAGCAAAATATAAAGAAATGGGGGCTGACTCTAATACACAGTACTATATACTGTTTGAATGACAGCATGAAAATGACACATACTAAACTCCAATCAAGTATTTACCAGCTGAAAGAAAATAGGAACTCCATTTGGTGTATACTCTGATTTATTCACGGCATTAGATTAAACCTATTCATGCATTTATAACCTCAACATGATAACATTATGCAAAACCATTAAAAAGGTTAAAATGTTGCTTTAATAATATTAGAATAAGCCGTTCTATCTGATCTATATCAGTTTGACAACATGAGTGTCTACAGACATGCTGTAGCGGTTTAGCCTACACTGTGTGCTAATAGGTTAATACTTGCAGTATTTCTCGGGGACACGCTGGTGCAGTTTGTGGCCAGCATGCTGTGCTCCTAATGTTTTGCAGAAAAGTCTGTATTGTTCACACTTGGACTTCACTCGACCTTTACTGTATGCAGCAGTCAGCAGCTGCTGAGGAAAGAAGAATTTCCACCGAGCGTTAGGACTTTCCAGAGTGGGCGGAGCGACTGTGCAGTGCAGGAAGTACTGAGTCAGCTGTAGTTTCTGTAGTTTTTGAGGTATGTTGGTTGTCAAACACGTTCCTTGCGGTCCCGCATAAAGGGCAGGGAGTCTGCGTTTGTCTGCGAGTTTTCTCTGTGTGCTGAGCGGCAGATACTTCAGCTTCTCCGCGATGAGTCGAGCCGTGCTGGTGGATCTGCTTCACCGCTGCTGTGCATCATGCACGGGCGCTTCTCTGCTGGAGGACTCGGTTTCAGACTCGCAGGTCTTCGTGCTGTGCGGGAACACTTACCGGGAGAAAAACGGCTTCGTAGACACGTTCTTGAGCTCCTGCAAAAGTGTGCACATCCTGGACTCGAGCTCCACAGTGGAGAGTTTGTACCGTTTCAAGCAGACTTTGGACCAGCTGGACCTGAGCTCGATCACGGTCCTCACCACCGCACAGGGCAAAGAGGTGCTGGCTCATTACCAGAACCTCCTTTTTACGGCCCTATACGACTTCCAGTACAAGCAGAGACCGGTGGACGAGACTTGTCCTAGTTGCAGAGCCTCCACAGATTCGGTCTCACCTGGCGAAGAAGTGTGCGAAGAAGTGTCGACGTTTATGCAGCAGCTTCCTGCGCTGAAGGGAGAACTCACAGTTCTGAAGTCTGCGCTCATTCCAGGTCGGCTTAAGCAAAACATACTTATGAGTTTTATGGAGTTATTAAATTACTGTATAGTGAATGGAGTTTGGATTTCTCCTCCTACATCAAGGGTGTCAAACATAAGTCTCGAGGGCCAGAATCGGTCGTACAAAGACTCCAATTTGGGCCATTGAATTATTTTTAAAAATGTGAACGAGTGCATAGATTTTAAACTTTTAGGTGTATTTTTATATATTTTACAGCTTCTCCTGTTGATAAAGATCTCGCCCACTGGTAGTCATACAGTAGCAAAGTACGGTAATAAATAAACAATTAAGGTTCCTGTTAACATTAGTGCACGATATGTGAAATGAAAACAGTTTGACTTCCCCGTCCCACACTAACTATTTGGGAACAGCGTGTTTTCCATTTTCTGTAAATGGGTGTATATTTGAAAGGAAGATAGAATGAGTTTGTCTATCAAAACTTAATATGTCATACATATACTATATATTGATACTATATATTGCACAATAGTAAATTCCAGAGTCTTTAATATATCGTTAGCTTCATAGCATAAGTGCCTAAGTCATGGACTTAGTCAAATGACTTAGGCAATTATGCTATGAAGCTAACGATATGGAGGAAAAACAGTGATTCACTGCTACTTGACTGTTTAATTTTATAATAAAGTCTAATCATTTGATAACCACTTAAACTATAGTGATATATCTATTAGATAAAGAGGAAACTGAGAATGTACCAATACCCAACACCATATACCGTTGGACTCCTTTGTCCATGCAAATATGTCCTAGTGAACTGATAACAGGAGACATACAGTGGTGTGAAAAGGTTTTTCACACTGGGCCATGTAGGTTTAATTTTTTCCACCTTAATAATAAACACTTTCATTTAGAAATTGTTTACTTGTGTTATCTTTGTCTAGAATTTAAATTTATTTGATTATCTGAAACATTTAAGTGTGACAAACATACAAAAAATAGTTAATCAGGAAGGGGGGGAAACACTTTTTCACACAACTGTGCATGAGATCAGCTCATGTTATCATTTAATCCTGACATTTAATGAATTTTCTTATCATTTAGTGCACTGTGTTAAAATTTCTATTAAAGTATAATCTGTTGACAAGATGTTGGTAAATAAATACAAACTGAGCTAGAAGTAGCTTAGCATTCATTTAAATGCTATTAAATGTATTTATTTCAATGTGTTATTTTAGAAAAGCAGTTTACCTTTTTTCTCTCCCTCTTTGTCTCAGATTGTTTTGGTCATGGCTTCAGCACCCGTACAGGTGGTGTGTCCTACATCTCGACCTTATCCTCCTTGAATCTGTTCAGCAGCTGCAGGAGGAGGGACCCAGTGGCTGTGGTAATGGAGAACAGGCGCCGATTAGCCCTCCATGCTGGTTTCCATCCTCAGCCCATGCATTTAGTCAAGGTACTCAACACTATTAGAATTTTGCCCTTTAATGTATTATCTGTATTATGTAAAAAGGGTGTTGGAACATATCTGTAGTAATTAAAGCTAGAGTCTGACCAATTGGCAGCCTGCAATTATCAGCTGATATTAACTGTATGAAAAACGAAAAAGTAAAGAAGAGATTGGAGAAACAACCATGTTATGAATGTTGATGTTGCATGACTTGTCCACCAGAGGGCATCCTGCAACGTCCACATTCCAAACACAACAAACAACCAGCTGATCCAAGCTGGCAGACAGAGCGCAAATGAGCAATAAATAGCTCCGTGTAACAGACATAGAGAAACCTGTTTAGATTCTATGTGTCTGAAAGAAAAAAAATATTATATTGGAATATCGGATTTTTAAATCACCAAATATCAGACTTAAAATATCGGCTCAGCCGCACCTTAAAGTGCGAGTAGCATGTATAAAAATATATCATCTTGCATATATTAAGGTGCAAGTTTTACATATTTAATTCTGGATGCACATCTGTTTGATATAATCTTTTGTTTTTAATATTCACCAACGTATTTCACATGTTAACAAACTAAAGCAAACGAGCATTCACAGTCAAAGAAAATGAATATGCAACAGTAACAAATAATTAACAGATTACACTCATTTTTTATTTTTAGTTGTTTTTGTTTTTTTGTTTTCCAACTTCGGGACAGTTTTGTTCTGACCTCAGTGCTGAGGGTCAGTGATGTGAGATCAGTGTTTTGTTAAAGGACTGTCGGCTTGTTTTCTGAAGGTGAACCACGCTAACGATGTCTGGGTCTTGGGGAAAGCTGAGCCCGAGAGTTACGATGCAATGGTGACCAATCAGACTGGGCTCGTCTTAGCAGCTCCAGGGGCCGACTGCATGCCGCTCCTCTTTGCTGATCCCGTCGCAAAAGTTATCGGAGTCGCACATGCAGGTCAGCCCTCACTGCTTCTCAAAGTTTTGACCACTGACTGCTAATTTAGGGAACCATCATCTCATTGGGGGCCAATCAAGAAAAAAAATGCACATCAGAACTATTAGTTAGTGTTTTTAATATGTCTATGTGTGTGAAAGAGAAACTTGAGTAGAGGAACTTAAGAAGACTTTGCAGAAAGCACACACTTCAACATTCTTTGGAATCAAAGTAAATTCTTTCAGGGTTAATTATTCTATAGACTCTTTATATAATTTGTTTTAGCCTTTGGTGCCCCCTAGAGGATTTATTTATTCAAGATAAAACCAAACCGTTGAAGAGAGCGTGCAAAAGAGGCTGCAGTGGTACAACTTTACAATATGAACTCTGACGATGAAATGGCTACATTTACAGGTTGGAGAGGAACCATAATGGGGGTTGCCATGGCCACTGTGAATGCCATGGTGACAGAATTTGCTTGCCAAGTTAGCAACATTGTGGTGGCTGTGGGACCATCAGTGGGACCCTGCTGCTATACCATGGAAAGAGACCAGGCGTTGGACTTCATGAGCATCCATCCAGACTGTGTTCCTGATCCAGAATCAGCCAGACCACACGTCGACATCCGTCTCGCCAACAGGTACGGCTCACGAAACGAGAACAATAGATTAAATAGAGCTGACAAAAGTACAGAATCTCTGTGAACAAGGAAAAGAAAATAGCTCTATATTCTGTTGCCTACATTGTAGAGGGAGTCTTGGTCTGTAATGAAGAGAATGAATAGGGAAGAGGTTAAAGTGGGATTCAGCAGGTGGGGATCCCTAAAACCAATTGCAAGGTCGTAGTGTGGAGAAATGAATCACAACTCAAAATAATTTCTCTTAAGAGCTTCAGTAGATTTTCTTAAATTTCCAGTTTATCACCACTGAGCAATCTTTACCTTTAAATCTAAGCTCTCTCCTTCCTCTCCTGTCCTGTATTTCTTATCTTTCTCCATCTGTGAGTGAAGTTAGCCCTCTTTCTTTTCACTCTCTGTAAAATACAGCAGCCGGACCTTTAACACACACTGTGTGACAAACTGCACACAAACACATTGTGTGTGTTTCGCTGATAGAAACGCTGCATTTGAAATTACCTGCCACTTTTTAAAAAAATTACTCGAGTAAAGAACAGATAACTGGAAATTCTACTTAAGTACAGTAATGAAGTATTTCTACGTTATTACTTCCCACCTCTAAGATTAACCAATGAGGGAAAACTGATTGTTGCAGAGCAAGAAACAAATTTAGGATTTATTGTGGATGTTGATCGGCATTCACATAAAATTTATATTTTCTTACTAAGGTCATAAAAGCATTCTGAAGATGCCCTTTTCATTTGAGTCTGGCTCAAATTTAACCTGAATTTCAGAAAATGTTCACGATACAAATTCAAAGTGTATTTAAACAGACTAAACAGACTAGTGGATGCACTGACTACCCAGATTCTATTTTTAAGAGATGTTCCAAGATGTACTAGTCTCGTTCTTTGAATATGTAAAAGGTAACTGTGGCAGCCACTCAATGATGACTCAGACTTGAACTTAAATACATCTCAGAGGAAATCATAGCTGAGTGAATTCTCCAAGTTCACTTTCATTCTGTCACTAGTGTTAGAGTGTGTTATATTTATTATGGAGTTAATCAATAAGATCAAGTAAGAGCTTCAGTTTAAGATTAAGGGTCTTCTTGCATTTACCCATTCTGGGTTGTCTGGAGAGGAGATAAGAGGAGAGAAAGGAGGTCCTTGTTTAAATTTTCAGCCATTACTATTTGAGTATGTGTTGGAAATAGTAGCTTTAAGCTTTAAGCTTTAAGGTCTTTAATATTGAATTCATATACAGTGGGGCAAAAAAGTATTTAGTCAGCCACCGATTGTGCAAGTTCCCCCACCTAAAATGAGAATTTATTCGTAAATCAGGGTGGAAAATAAGTATTTGGTCAATAACAAAAATACAACTCAATACTTTGTAACATAACCTTTGTTGGCAATAACAGAGGTCAAACGTTTACTATAGGTCTTTACCAGGTTTGCACACACAGTAGCTGGTATTTTGGCCCATTCCTCCATGCAGATCTTCTCGAGAGCAGTGATGTTATGGGGCTGTCGCCGAGCAACACGGACTTTCAACTCCCGCCACAGATTTTCTATGGGGTTGAGGTCTGGAGACTGGCTAGGCCACTCCAGGACTTTCAAATGCTTCTTACGGAGCCACTCCTTTGTTGCCCGGGCGGTGTGTTTTGGATCATTGTCATGTTGGAAGACCCAGCCTCATTTCATCTTCAAAGTTCTCACTGATGGAAGGAGGTTTTGGCTCAAAATCTCACGATACATGGCCCCATTCATTCTGTCCTTAACACGGATCAGTCGTCCTGTCCCCTTGGCAGAAAAACAGCCCCATGACCTTTGTTACTTTGGTCCCAGCTCTCTGCAGGTCATTCACCAGGTCCCCCCGTGTTGTTCTGGGATCTTTGCTCACCGTTCTCATGATCATGAGCCCCAGATCGAGGGAGATTATCAGTGGTCTTGTATGTCTTCCATTTTCTGATGATTGCTCCCACAGTTGATTTTTTCACACCAAGCTGCTTGCCTATTGTAGATTCACTCTTCCCAGTCTGGTGCAGGGCTACAATACTTTTCCTGGTGTCCTTCAAAAGCTCTTTGGTCTTGGCCATGGCGGAGTTTGGAGTCTGACTGTTTGAGGCTGTGGACAGGTGTCTTTTATACAGATGATGAGTTCAAACAGGTGCCATTCATACAGGTAACGAGTGGGGGACAGAAAAGCTTCTTACAGAAGACGTTACAGGTCTGTGAGAGCCAGAGATTTTCCTTGTTTGAGGTGATCAAATACTTATTTTCCACCCTGATTTACGAATAAATTCTTTACAAATCCTACCATGTGAATTCATAGATTTTTTTTTCACATTCTGTCTCTCACAGTTGAAGTGTACCTCTGGTGCAAATTACTGACCTCTGTCATCATTTTAAGTGGGGGAACTTGCACAATCGGTGGCTGACTAAATACTTTTTTGCCCCACTGTATGGGATTTGTTTTTCGCTCAGCTGTGAACCAAACAATATGTCTAATTTCCCATCCCAGAGTTCTCCTCCAGAAAGGTGGCGTCCTGCCCGAGCACATCCATGACAACACGATGACGCACTGGTCCTGCGTGACGCCCTGCACCTCATGTCACCCTGAAAACTACTTCTCCCATGTCAGAGATGGGCTTAACTTTGGCACACAGGTGGGCTTCCTGTGGATCAAACAAACGAATGAATGAATGAGTGTTTAGCACACTTACCTCATATTGTTGTCAGCTAAAGCTCCACAAAGTCAATGTGCTTTTTTGGTAAAATTACGTGGTATAAAAAATGTTAAAAGCAGCAGACAGAAAATAGCTAAAAACCAATTGTTTGCTAATTTACTGTTTGATATTTACAGCTTTAAGGATAATTTTGCATGTCCCACAGATTCTAATCTTCAAATAAACTAGAGGATTAAAGTTACAATGTGCAAAATCTCAATACTAGATGTCAGTACATAGCAGACTGCATTCAACGGAGTTCTGTTTTCGTACCGCTCTCAATTCAAATGCACAATCCTAGCTAAGGTGGCTTCCATTCATCTGTAGTGAGTGCAGGCTAGGGTTGCCAACTCCCTGAAAAATAAATAAGGGACACCTCGTGGCCAGGGCCGGGCAACCCAGTTGTCTTCACCCTTCCCAGTGTGGTAGCTCTTTTTTTGTGTGTGTGAAATTATTTTTTAACCATTTGACTTGAATTTGATTTAAGCAGATGCATATTCTTTGTGATATGACCTTATGGGAAACAAATGATCATTTAGCCATTTATTTTTTAGCTCAAAATGACAACATTAACACAGTAAAACAGGTCTCTTTCTTAAACAGAAGCCTGTCATGCTTAACTTTTGAGAATATAAGTAAATCTTTCTTTAAAAGAACTCTGTCCTGCTTAACTTAAAATTATATAAATTAATAGAAAGCAATAGAACGAAAAATATTCTTGTAACAGTGCACATATAGTGCATTTAGTATAATTGGCTTCAGCTGAGGTATTATTTCAGCTTTTCTAATGCTAATCAGCTGCTCCTGTTTGTAAACCCGCTTGTTCCCATGATTACGCACCTTAACTCATCATCATTATTCATCTATGTATTACTTTTATGTATTAGTCATCTATTTGTTGTAATCATCCATCCTTGCAGTCGTTTATTACACAAAATAAATGATATTATCACACTTCTGGCCACATAGCGCTGATATTCACTGCACATGCCCATATTAACCTTAACCAGAGGGTTTAAACAACAAACCAGTGTTTACATACCATATCTGCTTCTGCCGTGGCCTGGTGGACAAAAAATTGGTTAAGGGTTCCCCGAGCTTTCACGCCCCTCATGTTCTTCATGTGCCCACCACTAGAAGCATGCCTATGGAAAAAGTGCGCCGGCACACAGTGCAGTGCGCTTTATAGGTGTTATCGTGCACTTTCCCAGCCAGGTGTTTTCCTTTTCCCAGTCCTCCCTGTACTTTTGCAGCCTTTTTTCTTTTCTTTCTCTGAGGGGAACAAACATTGCTGCTCTAATGATGGGCTTACACTGTGCGATTTTTGGCCCATTTTGAGCCGATTTTTGAGTCGTGCGACCGATTTGGTGATCGGCCCGATTTTGGCCTTCATCGTGCATCGTGTAGTATACGTGGGGTAACGAGAAGCGATTAACACCTCACGACCAGCTCCCGATCATCAATCGCTCGTGAGGGTGTCACCACAGCTGCTCACACTGCTCATGCGCAAACACGTAAACATCGGTGAAAAAGACGGCGCAGCACGGCTGTGCAGCGTGTGATCTGGACACAAGTGATGGAGGCACAACTTGTAGAACTTTGGAAAGCTCATCCGAGCCTTTTCGATGTGGCATCACAAAATTATCACGACCAAAACAACCATGAAAATAGTTGGATTTACACTGCTGCTCAATCACAGCTGCCTGATCATGTTTTTCATTAGCAATTTAGCAAAGTTGATGGTGGTGGTGTGTGTGTCTGTGTGAGTGAAAGACAGAGAGGGAGAGCGCGACAGATTTTCTGTTATAACCTTCATGTTATGGAGGCACAGTGTGAGCACTCAGGTCGCATCAGAGCATCGGGCCGTATAGTGTGAGACCCTGCATCGTGACCTGCAAACTTCTAACCCCTGCGAGTCAATCGTGCAGTTTGAGCAAGAGCTGAATAACGTGACTGAAAAAAATCGCAGTGTCTGCCCAGCTTTAGGTGTACTGTCATCCGAGACGTGCACCGCAGTGTCGGCGTTTGTTTCCCTGTCGGCCATGCTTGTTGTTGTGGTCATCTGTTGTCTTCCGGTATTTTCTCCGCAAGCGACCTTTCCTCGACCAATGAGATAATCTGAATTGTCATACTCGAATTGTCATAAGTGTGCTGTCAGCTCATTGGTCACAAAGCAGGAGAGGGGCTGGGAATTGTGTTTTCAAACAAAGCGTTAATTCCATTAACATTTATAGACTACTTTTGATTCTCACTGTATTACGGGACAAAGTGCGTCCCTTATTAGCTCAATACGGGACGTGTACTTTTGTTTCTAAATACGGGACGATTCCGTTTTTTAAGGGACGGTTGGCAACCCTAGTGCAGGCTGTCAGTCCACTGTTCACCTCAGCAGTAGCAATATGTATTGACATCTATGGACTCTAGAGGGAAACTGCAAAACTTTGTGGCTGAGTCCAATATGAGTCAGTGAAGCTCATTTCTGTCTGACAATGATACTGCAGTGTTGTTGAGGATATCGAACTTTTTGTCATTAAACACTGCCCTTTAGTAACACTTTCTTTGAAGTGGAGCTAACTTTGTTGGATTCAGAGTCTTAGCGATTAAACTCTCATACGATGTGAGAATGTAATCAAATTGTTTATCGGAGGGAAAATGTGATTTTTAGGACACTTGAGTCTAACATTAGCTAATATAGCATTAGCTTATTGCTGTTGTGTTTTAGCCAGCTCATTGTTAGCTGTCTGGAGGCCGTAGAGTCGCATGTCTAATCTGCCATCAATAAGTAATTATAATGATATCAGGAAGAAATGAACATGTTTATGCACATTTTCGTGTGTTAGAGCTCTGACTTCAGCTCAGTAGGTTCAGCTGAGGAGAAAGAGGATGACACTTGATCCAGGTATCACCTTCCCTCGCATTTTCGCTTCTTTAATGAAAACAACCACTTCTCAGATGATAAAACATGGGTATGATCATATCTTGAGTCTGTAGGTGCAGACACAAATTAATATTTTACTAAGCTAAATTATTACTATTTTATTTTTTAAAATTTCACTAACTTTCAGGGATTTCTCACTTGAACAAACATGTTTTATAGCTCGTAAGATTTTTGGGGGTGAATCTAACTCTGCAGGGAATTATTTCTATATTGTCGGAAACAGCATAGGAATACTGGACTGATACAGTTTGTCCAAACATGTATATTTGGATAGTTTACCTGTATTGTGGGTCCAATGTACCAAGCAAACTACCCACTAGCCAGTAAGCATTCATCTAGCGGCTCTAATCTGTCTCTCTTAATTCCAACCTGAGCCAACAGAATTATTTAGAGAATGAATTGGTGGGTTTAAATACTTGGATAACACGCGGACCAAATAGACCTTTTTATTTTTATTCTTGTACTGAAAATCTTGAGAGATGGTTTTTAATGGCATTTAACTTTAGTAAGAGACGTACAGCATAATATTACTCAGTGATATAAGATTTAAGACAGAACACACATACCTTAAAGGAGTGAGGCTCTGAGCGGTGAGGCCATTCAATTTCTCTTGGTGAATGACTGTAAAAATCTGTACAGCATATTTTACGTTGATATTTCTCTTTCTGCATTGTAAAGCATGGTAATTTTTGTGTTCAATAAACTTTCAGTCCAATGACCGGCTACGTGGGTTTTATTAATTAACTGAATGACAGATAGCAGTTGGGTTCATCAGAGTTCAAATCTGTCACATTTTACAGTAGAATATCCAGGCGATAGATGGGTCATTCCATGAAAACCAACCAACTGCACCAGTTTAATGTTTCTGATGGAGAGGAACAGAAACAACCATTAGTTTGATCTGTTCTCTGATTATTCTGTGGGGGAAAAAAAAAACTTTTGAGTCCAACTTTTAAAGGATTTCATCACCATGTGAGATAAGCCAGAACAAGTTATACCAAATAGGAAATTTGTTTGTTTTTTTTAAACCTAGTGTTTGATATTCCCACTATAGCCTTAATTCCTTCTCTGTCAAAAATAATTTTCCAGTAATCTACAATCCTGTTTAATTCTGTGGCTGTTAGGTGGAGACACTGGTTGGTTTTACATATCAGTTTCAGTTCCAAACTTTTAGGAGCATTAAACTTTCTGTTGTTTGGTTTAATATAATGAATAAATGTAATTTTATTAAGCATGACAGACACCGACATCTTCAGGGATACAGACAGTTTTTATTCTGAGACAAAAGTCTTGATTTGTCTTACAAAGCAGCCCTTTTCCTAAAAAATAAAATAAATATAACAAAGATCATTTTAGTAACACAAAGTGTCTCACTGAAAAGATCGGCTGTTTTCTCAACAGCCTCATTTCTGCATAAAATTAACTGGAAACAGAAGCATCACATTTCTGCGTGTTTCACCAACACTGACGTGGGATCTGATTTTTTTCTTCCCCCCTCAACTTAGTGCAAGTTCAGTCATCACATTGAACAGTAATTTCAAACAAGTAAAAGTAAATCACAAACTCTTACAGTTCAGTCAGTTTTAGCTGAAATTCACTTTTAACATGATCAAAGTAAACTGAGGTCAGGTCTGCACAGGACTAACACCAACGACACAAACTCTACAGCGCATGACTCGAAACACTTACATCATATAAATCATGTTCCCGGACACATTACTGACAGTGTTATCAATTAAAACATTCTTACACAACACAGACACACATGCATGACCGACCTGGTGGCAAACGTCATTTGTGGGCTTCAGATAATAATAAAACCTCTCCTGGCATCAGCTTTCAAACAGAGACATCCCCGCACAAGTCAGTCTTAAATGAATGTAATGAGCTCCATTAGTCGAGGAAATGAGCCAGATTATTAACATCAATCACTAAACCAAGTTGTTTAATGTTAGATTATATTTTCTTTAAGTGGTGAATTATTTTCTTTTCATTACGGTCCGAAAATTATTTTGTACCCACGCTACTAACTTAAATTTATGTGCAAGTCACACAGTTTCTTTGCAATTTTAATTTGCATCTCATTTCAAAACATTTTCAGGGCTTTCATGGTCACGTTTCCACTATTGGAGACATTTAGCATGCTCATGTGCTTATTTTGCATCTGTGTGGTGATTTTATAGGTTTTTGTTTTCTATGGAAGGTCATTTTTGTGTCTTTATTGTTCTTCTCTCCTCACTGAACTGGTAGAATTGTGTCTCAACGTACTTTTTAAGGTAATCAAAAATTTGTTAATAATAAGTTTGTTAATAATTTTGTGTCATTTTGAGTTTGTTTTGTGTCTTTGTTTGTTTTTGCATAAATAAGAGCAAAACATTGCAGATTCATTGGAAAAAAGGAGCGAATCATTATTTCAGACATTCATTCTCCACACCACTCTCCACCACAAAAAACAAACAAACAGAAATTTGCACTTTTATCCTAAAGCATTGCCATTGTGGCTTCAGAGGCTGTTCTCAATTGGCTCATGCAAAAGAGTTTAATGAACCACAAATGTAGGAGCCCTTCTCACTCTGGGCCATAAACTGAAAACAATCGCTAATCCAACAAATGTATGAACTGCTGAGAGAAAGAGTGCCCGTCATTACAGAAACAAAGAGCCAAACATAATCTGTATTTAAACAGTAAAAGTGTTTCCATAGCAGGTTTATGATTTTAAGCACCACTGGATTCCTGCCAAATCTTAGTTTAGCTCATTGCATCACCACCTAAGCTAACTGTAAACAGGCCATTTGGTTTGTAATTTTTGGCCAATAATTAACAGAAATAAGCAGTCACGTAATTTTAAGACCAATGGAACGAGGACAAATCCAGTCTTGGTTTTGAACTCAGGAGGAAATTTGAGAGCTTTGTGCTTTTGAAATGTCAGTGGACTCATTTGCGGAAACGTTGCTGGGTTTTGGCCCTGCTGAGGACACAATGAAATGAAACCTATGGGAAACATTTTTTAGATATTACTCCTCAGTAAAGACCTTCCACCATTTAATCTCCAACCTATTAGCCTTTAAGTGGCTGCAGCAGCAGCAGGCTTGACAATCTGAGTTGTTAAGGTGTTAATCTGAGTTGACTGATTATCAAAAAAAACAAAACCCACATAATTCAATTGACTTTTACAACAAATAAATTCCTATATATTTATGAGGTTGGAAAATAATTCTAGTAAAGTGAATGTACAACATCGTCATCAGCAAAACTTCTACTTGCAAAAAGCAAAGGCCTTGACTGCTCACGTGTGCCCCCCCAACCCATCACAGCAACTTCTGCAATTTCATACTATGGACTTGTCATTGACCCCAGCTCCTCTTCCCAGACTGTGGAGAACATTTTCCACGTGTCTTTTCTGATCAGAGTAAGGCTTTAGTGCCTCCTGGTGACTGTAAGCAGGCGTGACAGTTTCATTCGCAGAAATGGCTTATGTATAAAAGAGGTTAATAGTTGTTCCAGCAGTTAAAATGTATTGCTTGTACATTTCTGTGTACCACATAGTGAAGGTATGTTTTATCTGGTGTATGAGGCATGTTTATCTTAGCACAAAGAACAATATTTTGTTGCACCGCTATTATCGCAAGGTTTGGGTGTGATCATATAGGCTGTGACGCCACGCCAAAGGATTTCAGTGAGCCATTTGCAGAAGTCTGGTTTTTCTACTATCTGTACAAGGTATTTTTTTATAATTGTGTGTCTGTCCAACTAATCAGAGAGCTCCTTACATCCCACAGTGTGGCTAATTTGCATTGCAGCAGGATTATTAAAATGAAGTTGCTAATCCAATAGTTAATCCGTGAGCTAATCTGTGAGAAAACAGGAAAGAGAACTGGATTTTAAAATGAGGAGTGGGCTCGTCATATTAAATTGTATTTTTAAAAAACATTTTGAAAATCTCTTTTTTAATGTGGAATTCAAAAATGAATTTACAAATGCAGAATTTATTCTACAATTCATTATTTAAGCACAGAACACTTTATTTCGATGCGCATGGCTCTTGTGGTCCTCCATACCAAGGAACTTGAAAAACTCCACAGTAGATACTGGGCTGTCTGATGTGGTGGGGGGGAGCAGTGTTGATGGATGTCTCCTGAGGTCCACTGTCATCTTGTCTTAAGCCTGTTCAGCTCCAGGTTGTGCTGACTGCACCAGACTACCAGCCACTCAACTTCCTGCCGGTATGCAGACTCATCACCATCCTGAATGAGGCCAGTGACGGTGGTGTCATCTGCAAACTCTTTAGCCTGCAGCCCTTCCAGTAATGCTGGTCTTTTAGTAATTACCAGTGTATGCTCATTGTCAGCAGGCTCACTGTCAAAAGGCTCATTGTCAACCATGAGGTGCATGGTATTGTGTCGTTTGGCAGCTTAAATATGTGTTTTGCGACACTAACACTGGGCATTAACTGTTTTTTGTGCTTTGCAAAGTAAAAAGGAAACTGACTGTTACTCCACAGAGCACACCAGAAAGTCCTCAAATAATGGACAACAGTTCTTCCCCAGAGCCCCTTCCACAGCTGTCAAGCACCTCTACCCTCCAAAAAAATATCTAGGGTGAAGCAAGAAGGCAAGGACAAAGAGGATTTGAGGGCAGCCTCTGATACCAAGGCTGATCTAAGCATGGACAAAAATGTAGAAAATAATAATCTGTTGGGGGCTTCCCATTATGCATGATGCGTGAGGAATGTTTCCTCTTCATTATTGTAGGGTCTTTCCCTTACTGCAGAAAGTGCCTTGTGGTGACTGTTGTTGTATTTATATAGGTAACATTTAATTATCTGAAGAGTGCTTCTAAGAAAGTGACTTCAAGATATATTACGTTCAGTTTCAGAACTTTAAAGTCACTTCAACTTTATCTTAACTCAGCTCTTCACATCTCAATGCAAAATGCCCACTGGTGACCATTTACAACTTGAACAATTATCAGTGTGTTTAAGCTGACTTTGACAGTAACATAAATTAACCTAAATTAAACCTAATTTAGGTTACTTTAATTTAACCTAAATTAAATATAGATGAGTAGTAACGTGTTAAAAGTAACATGTTACTGTAATCCGATTGCTTTTTTCAAGTAACAAGTAAATTACGATTGCAAAAAAGAAATTAGATTACTGTTACTTTCCCATAAGCACGCTGCGTTACTGCATTACTAAACTGTGATTTTGTTTGTGAGACTGTCTCATGACAATGACGTACGAGTGTGCAACATCCCTGACAGCACCAAATGTGTTTAGATCAACAATCGATAATATGGAGTGCGGAGAGAGTACGACCATGCAGCGTTTAAAGAATGGAAGTACGGGCATTACTTTGAGTTTGATTCCATAAAAAGTGACAATGAAAAATTACGCTGCCACGGGAATGTGAAATTCTCAGAGAAACCCCTGGACCCCCAATGACGTGACCACTGCAGCACCAGGCAAACCTCCACCGGCCCCATTCCTGTTAAACAGGTGAAAACAGACTTAAGAATGACAGGACTTGGTGCAGCTGAATCTTCGATTTTATTTATTTATTGCTGTTTGCCTTGAAAGAGTGAGGGTAAACACAAAAGTTTTTTTATTTTATATGCTGTAATATGCAGAAAATAGGTTTAAATATTAAACAAATTTCTTCAGGTCAGAGCATAGAATTAAATTTTTGCTTGATGCAATGTGCATGAAGTTAAAAGATTAAAACTAATAAAAGATGTTTTAAAAATAGACTTATTCATTTGATTACATTTTATATGATATCATTTATATTGCTTTATAACATATTCAAGTTGTGTATCATGTTGTTTAAAAAAATGGCTAAGTAATAAAGTAACTAATTACTTTTGAAAATAAGTAATCAGTAAAATAGAGTAACTGGATTACTTTCTTGGAGATGTAATCACTAATTAGTAACTAATTATTATTTTCAAGTAATTTTACCAACACAGAATAACACATTTCATTGTTTACAGACATATTGTGGATAACACTTTATAGGGACAGATCAGCTCAGAGTATCGCCATACAGGCTTGTCCTTTGAATGGGCTCCTTGAAAACACATGAAATTCCAACACGAACACGCTTTCGGCTCATAAAACACGCCCACGCTTCCTTAACCAGCGAGGCGTCAGACGTAACCAGTGACGTCACGTGCGCGTGGAGAAGGTAGCTGGATTTCTTAAAACGCGACGCGCGCTCGGCGCAGGACGTCCCGCCACTGCAGATCGACCAATAGAAGCCGGAGTTACTATCCCGACTAGTTTAAAGTTGCAGGAAGACTACTAATGTTTACACTCGATACGCATTACACGCCAGTCCTGCGTTGTGTGCGCTGTTGTCGTGCTGAACGTTTTACTTGCAGAAATGGCCTCCGAAAACAAATCGTGCAAGAATGAGGACGTGCTGGAGATCGTTTCGAAAGATAGTGAGGTAGAGTTGTGTGTTGAAGATTCTTCGTCAGATGACGAAGATCTCATCCAGGTAGACAAAGAAAATAGCAGCGATTCGGGCTACGAAATACTGCTGCCCCAAAGGTATGCAATCTCAGGTTTATTGGTGAATGCTTTTTATCTTTTTGTCTTGGTGCACGGTCAGTCATCCAGTGTGGAAATCCCAGAAAGTGGATTCTGTTCATTTGGACATCGCGATTTCAGTGGGAGAAAAGTTTCATTACTCATCCCAGTAACTTGAATTGAATTTCCCCAACCTTATCAACAGTACATTTGATAGTGGCTGAAACTAGCACCACTGACTTACAATGCGCTGTGAGGTCAGTTTCTTGATCATTAATATGCAAATTGTCAGGACCATTAATCAATGATCATGAGTATCATTCACAGAGAACTGGGGAAAGGCTGCAAACACAGGAAGTGAAAGAGGCTAATTGCACCCACGTTATAATCAATCTAGTCACTTTTGGCCAATTAAACTATTGTATGGAACTGTGATGTCATATTTCTTACAATTTCTGCTCCCCTCTTGGCAAGATCTGTCTTGGCAACAGAGGCAGAGGCAGACATTTGATACACCCAGGGCTTAGCCCTAAAGGGTAGTATGCATGTGGGATTGGGGGAGGGGGTTAGAAATGACTGAAAGATTGGGCTCTGTTTTGGGTTTTGTTCAAAAAAGAATGGCTTCATGTAGGGAAAATATATATCAAGTATGCAGGACACCTTAAACTAGTTTTTTAATTAAGCAGCAAGGCAGAACAAAGTCGGGGCTGTATCAAGACACGAGGACTAAACCCCAATTCAACCAGACCCAGAACTGATCCGGAATTAAAACAGGACTACAACAGTTCAAAATCAGGACTACTTAGGACTTAACCAAGACAGAACCAGAATCAAATCTAGATGACAGTAGCACTAAAAATCATCATAGACCTGCACTACACTTATTTTTTAATTCTACCAAAGTACGCTATTTAGATTGAGAAAAGTTTATATAATTATTTAGCCTTGTTGTGCAAACAAGCCTGCATAACTTAATAAATGTAGAATTTGAAAAATAACAAACCTAAAAAGAAACACTAGGTACGAGATACATGAGGACCTATGATACGGTGATACTTTTGGTAAACAACCATTTGACTAACATGTTTGTCTCACCTGCTCTTGTTCCCTCTCTGTTCCTCTCTCTCCCTCTTTGTGCTGACAATCATCAAATATATAGTTGAAACCAGATATTTATGTACTCTTCAGATAAAAACACCTTTTTAATTGTAACATCCAATCAGACTAAATGTTTATTTTTTTAGATTGATAAATATAAAAAACATTTGTTAACTTTAAGAGTAAAGAGTGAAACTATCTATATTTCTTAATTGTAAATGGCACCAAATTGTATTCAAAATTGAGCCACACTTATGGAGCTCCACAATTCTTTTCCTGGTGTTTTGGTTGATGTCTCTTGATTTTCCCATGTCACAGAAACAGACTCTGTGTTTTGCCTTATATGCATCCACAGGTGTGCCACCAATTTACTCACATGGACTCTACTAACCTATCAGAAGCTTCTTCAGCTCAGAATGGAATCGTCTGGAGTTTTCTTATTAATTAACAATAAACTTAGTGTATATGTGCTCCTAAATTTGATCAAAGTGATAAAAAAATAGACGGCTCTCTTTATTCTGACATTTAACGAATTCAAAAGATATTTCAATATTTATTTATCCAAAACAAGTTTACTCTGAATTGATGTTGTACAGTAAAAAAATGTTCTTGTGTTTTCCATAAAGTGTATGCAAATATCTGGTTTAAACTGTGAATATCCTGCTGTGTATTGAAGTTCCTCTTGTTTTGCATAGAAATATACTGAACAACATACAAAGCATAATATATAAAATAACATCAATCAGAGTTTTTTCTTTGAAAGAAGCTCCTTATGTCCATTCTTGTACATAACTGAAACCGATTTATTTAGCCGTGGAGGGTAACAACTGAAAATATGAAATAAACACATGTAAGCTAAGACTCTAAAGAAACAGCATTGTTGTTGTTCGGCTTGTCATTTCGCCATTTGTTGATTCACTCGAAGAGCAAGTAATGTAATATGGGTCAAGTGATCAGTTTGATATCAATCTTTTGTGATACACCGTCATATTTACATTATTTGTACAGTACGAATGATTTGCTTTGGTACCTGCTCAAACTTCAGTTCTCCTCAGTCTGCCTGGCTCCGTTTCTCCAACAGCGCACTCGCAGGCAGCAGCTCCCCCCGCCCCCTCGCTCAGTCGCTTAGTGTCTGAGCATACCAATATTACACAGTGTGCACTATGTGCTTCGAATATTGTGTGTAGTTGTTGTTTTATACAGTTGTCAGCCAGGCATGTAACTATGAAAACACTCCAGAAGACCCCGGGCTTCTGACAAAACAACCCGGGCTTAAGCCCAGTAAGCCCCCCCCCCCCCCCCCCCCCCCCGTTGGTTGTCGGTGACAACCAAATAATTAAAAGGTGTATATAAAAGTCACCTGAACAAATATTGTTTGTACCTTCTAGTTTGTGATATGAATCTTCTTTCTCATCCAAATGACTTGATAGCATTCATGAGAGATATGTTTGACCTGCTGCTGGCCGATAATAGGTCAACAATTCATTTATAATAGTTAAAATTCCCGCAATCATTTTTTGGCAAATACCGGAAATCCATTTTTGGCACAACACCGTTATTGGCGCAAGAAGCCGCTATTATCCACTGATCAATGGTCGAGACAATTTGCATGTTAGTGATCATGAAACGGACTTCACGGCCCGTTGTTGGGCAGTGGTGTGAGTGCTGGTCATTATCTATGTTGTATTTGTTGATAAGGTGGAGAAATTCAGCTGAGACTGAAGAAGTCTTTTAGACGAGTAGTGAACCTTTCTCCCACTGAAAACTCCACATCTAGAAGAATCTAATCAACTTTTTGACCTTTATGTTTGTTTCATTAGTGATGATGACGACTATGAGCCCCTAAGTCCCTCATCCCCTGCACAGCCATCAGAGCAATATCATTCCCAAGCCACACAATCTACCTCAGCTCCCACTGTCCCCCAGTTGCCTGAAAGGTATATAATCTTAATTTTACTACTCCTTATAAAGTTAAGTTTTTCATAGATTTTGAATATGTATTCTTTATTTACCACAGCAGCAACAATGATGACTATGAACAACCTCTGCAAAGCCCGGCCAAAAGAAAAGCTAAATTGAAGCCTGCTAGGTCTAAGGCTCGGAAGAGTGGGCCTCCTGAACAGGAAGAAATGTGGCATAACAAAAAGGAGGAGGACAGAAATCCTGAACCCTTCAAGTTTATGCCCTCCAGGGTACCTGGTCCTACATTTAACAAGACGGCATCATGGTCTCCACTTTCGCTCTTCCAGCTTTTCTTTAGTGTACCTGTTGTACAGACAATCATTCAAAATACCAATGCCAATGCTGCGAGAAGGAAGGCAGCTGGTGTAAAGTTTCAATGGACTGATCTGACAGTGAAAGACTTTTACGTCTTCTTGGCTATTATTGTTTTCACAGGCCTTGTAAGTGTACACCACAGAGCTGACTACTGGAAAAGAGAATGGCCATACAATTTTCACTTCCCCCAAGAATATATGTCCAGGAACCGTTTTGAGGCCATCGTGTGGTCATTGCACCTCTCCAACCTGAAAGACGATGAGGAAAACAAAAAAAAAAGAAACACCCCGCAGTACGATCGGCTTTTCAAAATCAAGCCGCTCTACGACCAAATCGTGAATGCCTGCAAAGCAAATTTCCAGCCTTACGAAAACATCTGCATAGATGAGAGGATGGTGGCATCTAAGGCTAGAATTAGCGTCAAGCAGTGTATGAAGGCGAAGCCCACAAAGCGGGGATACAAGCTGTTTGTTCTGGCTGATTCAGCATCGGGTTACACATGGAACTTTTCTGTCTACACAGGGAAGAGTGAAAGCAGCATAAGCCATGGTCTGAGCTACTCAGCCGTTTTAGATCTTCTGCCATTTTCTTTGCTTGGTCGGGGCTACACTTTATATTTGGATCATTTTTATACCAGTCCTGTGCTGTTCCAATATCTGCATAAGAATTGCTTTGGCTGCTGCGGAACCATTAAAAAAACCCAGAGTGACTTTCCCCGCACAGAAAAAAATGACTTTCCTAAAAGAGCTGAGAGGGGAGATATGCGCTGGATTAGAAAAGATGAAGTGCTCTTTGTCAAGTGGATTGAGACTCGGGAGATAACGATGTGCTCCACAGTGCACAGGGCCTTCAGTGGAAAGACTGTGCAGCGTAGAGTGAAGGAGGCTGGGGCGTGGTCGGCAAAGCAAATACCTGTTCCTGATGCAGTGCTGGATTATAATAAGAACATGCATGGTGTTGATTTATCTGATGCTCTCATTGGTTATTACAGTGTTCAACAAAAAACAAAGAAGTGGTATAAGACTTTTTTTTATCACTTCGTGGACATTGCCATTGTGAACAGTTTTATTTTGCACAAGGAGATATGCAGGAGCCAGGGTCAGGAGCCGGTAACTCAGAAAAAGTTCTGGGAGCACCTTGCTGTGGAAATGCTGTCTTTTGCTGTAGGCTCAGCACCAGCAGCACCATCGCCCACACTCACCTGCATGCCGCGTTATTACGGCAGCGATGCTACACAATCCAGGAGGTACTGCAGGAGGTGCCTGGATGCTGGCATCCCAAGGGTGAAAACACCTATTTATTGTAGGGCTTGCAATGTCCCCCTGTGCCTCACGTCAAAAAAAAACTGTTTTGAGCGCTGGCATGATAAGCAGGAATATTTATCAAGTGTAAATGTGCACTGATGGCTTGCTTCCGCTCTTGTAATGAAACCTAGAATTTCAAGAAATACTCAAATCATTTTGAGGATGTCATTATTTATTTATTTTTGTTAATCAAGAACCTCACCTAATGTCAACTTTTGTCCATGTATTACAGAACAATATGAGCAGAGAAAAATCCCTGTAATGGGCACCTTATGCATCTGATTTGGAGTTCTACACAAAATGTTTTGCCATTTCTAATAGCCCGAGTATAGGTTTAAATACAACACCCAGAATAGGATCACAAAGAATAAAGTCTTTATTATACACTTAGGAGAATCCGTTCAGAATTGTATAGAGCTGTGGAAAAGTATACCTCAGGACGGTCAATCCAGCACTCTCACAGGAGTCACAATATTTTATGTTTTTATACACTGTCAACCTACAGTGCTGGGCTGTGGGCTGAAGTCAGATTCGTATTTAACTTGATTAGGATATGTATTAAATTTATATCCTTAATATATATCCTGAAAAGCCTATAAATGGATGTCCTTATACTGGCATTAGGCTCCTTCTAGCTGCAGGCCTCAATCATTGCATTCTTTTATTTTTATTAATTGAGTAGCAAAATCTGTCATTCTCCCTGGCATCCCTCATCCTCCACAGCTAACCAGGCTGTCAGTAGTGGCTCTTATACAAGAAACCTACATTAGGTGATCTGTGCCATCCCTGAGCAGAGCAGTTTTCACTAAAAAAGTTCATTTTTTTCTGTCCTTGCAGTATACTGTACTATATTCAGCTACAGTAGAAGTGATTCAGATGAACTCAGTCATGGTACGCACCTGGTGTAACGGCTAAATGTAACGAAGCACGTTGAGTAGGTGAAAGGATGGTTCCACAGTGTGCGGCATCAACTGTCAAACATGGAGGAGGAAGCGTGATGGTCTGGGGCTGTTTCGCTTGGATCCAGGGTTGGTGACTTGTACAGAGGGAGAGGCACCCTACTACAGCATTCTGCAGCACCATGCAATACCCTCTGAGTTGCGCTTAGTTGGTCAGGGGTTCATTCTGCTGCAAGATAACGACCAAAAACATAAGTCCAAGCTATGTCGGAACTACCTCAGAAAAAAAAGAACAAGATAGTAAGCTTGAAAACATGGAGTGGCCAGCGCAGTCTCCAGACTTAAATCTCATTGAGCTGGTTTGGGATGAAATGGACAGAAGATTGAAAGCAAAGCAACCTACAAATGTCACACATTTATGGGAATTTCCACATATGGGAAGAACTTTCTGAAGAATATTTGATTTCTAATGTAGAAAGAATGCAACGGATATGTTCAGCTGTTATATCTGCAAACGGGCACTTCTGGTTCCACCTGCAAGAGAATTTTAGAAAACCTTGGTGTTTTCCCGGACAGCTCTTTTAAACTCGAGAAACAGATCTCAGCTGTGGCGAAAAACAGTTTCTAGCAGCTGCGTCAGATATCTAAAGCAAAGCCATACCTCCCTTTGAAGGATCTTGAAAAGCTCATTCACACTCTTATCACTTCCACGTTAGACTACTGTAATTCCCTCTACTCGGGCCTCCCATCTTCCTCTATTCACCGGCTCCAGTTAGTTCAAAACGCAGCCGCGCGTCTCTTTACTGGTACTAGAAATTATGCCCACATCACACCAGTTTTAGCCAACCTACATTGGCTCCCTGTTGATTATCGTATCAATTTCAAAATTCTTTTGCTTACCTTTAAAATTTTAAATAATTTGGCTCCCAGCTATCTATGCGAACTCCTTCATTTGTATATCCCTTATAAGGTACTTAGATCTTCCAATCAAATGCCCCTGATGTAACCGAGGTCTCGTCTGAAGTCCAGAGGTGATCGGGCCTTTGCTGTCGTAGCTCCCAGACTCTGGAATAACCTCCCTCCTTATATTTGTTCCTCCGAGTCCATCAAGTCTTTTAAATTGCATCTTAAAACGTATTATTTTAGTCTGGCTTTTGATTCAAATTAGTATGTTATTTCGTGGCTAGTTTTTGTTTCAAACAATTGTCATTTTGTTTCCTGCCCTCCTTCTATCTGTTTCTTTTTATTCTGTCCTATGCTATTGTTCTGACCGACTGTGAAGCACTTTGGTCAACTTTGTTGTGTTATTATGTGATATAGAAATACATTTTGATTTGATTTGAAGAGAATGACAGTCTATTTGTCTCTTTCCTATTTGGTGTGAACAACCCCTTCGGTAATCTTTTTGATAATAGTGGTATGAGTATAGTATGAGAGTCACAACTCTAACAGAAAAGGAAACAGAGAAAAGCCATGCGGGTAGGAGCTACTCTCCTGAGCTAAGGTTAGTCACATGGGGCATGGATACAGCTGAACCCACCCAACATGAATATCCTGAAAGAACTTTGTGACTTTAGAAAAGATAACAACGAATAATATGCGGATATTAAACGTGACTTGAGAAGAGTTGATGCTAGAGTGGAAGAGGCAGAGGGGTGAATCATAGAGACTGAGAAGGTGCTACAGGTGGTGTCATTGTTCATTAAGAGGCTAACAGCGTCAAACTAGACCTGCTCGAGCAGGAAGGCCGAGTATGCAGAGACAACCTTCGGATATATGGAATATGTGACGATGAAGAAGGGTCCGACATGATTAAATTTTTGTACAATTTATTGAAAAACTCCCTGGGCTTTTCCAGTGGCCAATCACTTAGAATTGAAAGAGCACATAGCACTTTGACAACGAAACCAAATGGGTGCGAAAAGCCCAGATCTATTGTCATGAAGTTTTACCCTTTAGGCTTATGAAAACACGCTAGTTATGGGTGTGATTGGTAAGTTTTACAAGGAAGCCTCACTCTATGCAGTATGTTAAAGAAAGACGTGAAAAGGAAGGAAACATTTCAATATGAAATTGAATATGAAACTTCAGTATTCTTTTTCTGCTACTAAAAAATGCTATATTTAGCATTGTGTTTTCTGTGAACCAATATCTTCTTGTTTGTAAAATGACAGTTTATCTGATGGGAAAATACGGTCACAGTAAAGGTTTATTCATGGACGGAAGAAAATCTGCTGTAATCCCCTACTTTACCTCTAGGAGGAAGCAAAACTATTAAAATTAGTTTCTGCTGCTGTTATTTTAGTAAGTCTTATGATTTACTTATTTAATTGGTTCCTTCTGAATTTTTCTTATACACCATGATGTTCACTTGATTTCTGCTTCAGTATAATGAAGAACAATCACAAGCACTTCATGAGATTAAAGAATTTAACTGGGAAAGAAATCAAATTTATGCAGTCAGTATGTACAGTGATGATTCTTCTTCATAACTTCTTCATAAAATTCTCTGTAGCTCTCTGGTGGTCATCCATTCCTGTCTTATCAGTGCTGCAAGCCAATCACAGGCTGTTCACTTGCTTCTTAAGGACTGACTGACTAGATTAAGATTTGGGGAGTTTTCTGGCTGTAAATGTTAATTTGATGATCACCAAATCACTTAGTTATAACTTCTGCCTTGTGACATGTTGCTCCATCATACTGGAAAATAGACAGATCACCACTAAATTCCTTCTGGATTGTTGAAAGAACTTTTGCACCATTCTTAGTTCATGACAGTGTTTGGGGGCAGAATTGTGACTGTGCAGAATCCCATGGATGAAAAGAAACCACACACCTAGATAACCTCAGGATGCTTCACCATTGGCACAAATCATGGTAGCATTTACCTTTCCTCTTTTGGACTGTCAATTTTTTAGAATTCCTTAACAGTCAGAAACGGGCATCATCAGTGAAAACAACCTTCCACTTCTTCTACTGTCCAGTCCTTGCAGTCTGTGCAGCATTTCAGTCTTTCCTTGATGTTTTTCTTGGAGAGAAGTGGCTTCAAGCATCTCCTATTTTATAGAGAAGTCTGTGCTTTCAACTGATGCATGACATCAGTGGACTCACACTTTCTCTTGTGCTATAAGATGATACAGAACTGCTGATAGCTCTTCGTATAGGGCCAAATTGTCATTGGATTTTTCAGATGAAGTTTACTTTCACACAATGGAGCTGTTTACAGTTCATGAATATACTTTTGATCACCCTGCATTAACCTTTTGCAACAACCACAAGACATAATTGTTATGAGATGCGCCACACATACTATATGCAATATTACTATAAAACTCACAAAAAACGTTTCTTCTCCATGTGACATTACAAATATGTAAAATAAACAATACAAATGTCTTTATACACAATGAAATTACACAAATTTTTCCATAAATGTGCAGAAATTGCTACTTTGTCTTGTATGAAAATCTTGAGGCACACATGGTTACATTGTATATTGCTAGGAAAATGGGAAATTGGTTGAAACATATATGGACTCCATAGCATATAAGATGTTTGTGCAGTTCTAACAATATTTACTTTTATTCTTCAGTCCTTGAACTTAGGCAAGCTTTCTTGCCATTTCTTTAAGCAGTGTTCAGCAATAGTTCTCCAGGCTTCTCGGAGGACACTTAAATCTCTTCTTTGGATGCTGGCTGTCTTATTCTGTCAGTCCTGTCAATACGATCCCACACTGCTTTATTAATGTGGAGGCTAGGCATTACATTGTGTGTTTTTCTAACTATAGCAATGGAAGAGTTTAAGAATCTGCAACTTTTCTGTGTGAAGTTGACCTTGTTGGATTAAACGCACTATGTTGTCTCTATTCTTGAAGGCCACTACTTACAAGAAGGCTTGCCCAGTCTTTCCAATATGCTGCATGTAGATTTTCGAGTTATCTTTTGCGCACTGTGTTCTAAGACAGTCTTTGGGCTTGCAGTCTATGTAGTTAAAAAAGAATTCCTTGTCTGTACTAGTGTTTGACCCCTTAGCAAAGGTAAATAAAATTCACTTTAACTCAATTTATCCTAGATTTCTACAACACCAGGTATGTTTTTATACCATATTTAAAAACGTTTAAAACACTGAGGTTTAGTGTATCTAAACACAATCCTTACAAACTTAAAGCTCAGGTGTCAAAGTGGAAAATGAGGATCCGCACTGAGAGACAGAAAATACAAATAAGGAACTGTGCACTGTGACTCATATAAAGCTACTCTAGAAAGGTCCAAGAATAAAAATAAGGATATAAGCATAAAAAAATCCTCTTTGAGTTTGTTAGGTGGAGACAACCCCAAAAGTCGTAATTTTCCTCTGTAAGCGCTAGATGTTTTAACTGTGTGCTAAGAAGTATCACTGACTTAAAATGGGGTGTTATACTAGTGTGCTAATTTTCATCTGTCGCCACCAACTCTTTTAGGCCTTATCATAATATCAACAAGTTTAACCTCAAACCATAAAAAAACAAGACCGAATCATCAGATAGCTTTTAAGGAGACAGACACAGTCCAAGCAGAGGGCCAGCCAAAATGTCCTCACTTTGCAAAAATTTCCTCACTCCTCCCTCTGCAACTTTAATTGGCCCTCATAAAGAGAGAGGTTCAAGAGGATACTTGGATTTAAACATTAAAACCAGGCTAATGTGCATCTGTGCTCTCTACATGGTAGTAATCTGCATAGTTATGCTTTACGCAATGTCCATTACAACATCTCTCTCTCTTTCACAAGTAGATTCTCTCTCTCCTGCTCACTCTGATTTCGCTCCTTTACATTCATACAAATGTGACCATGTCACCAAAACCAGGCTTAAGTGTTTATCTTGATGCCTTATGCCATCAACATATGAATCATGCTATGTATTACACCAATGCTGTTTCCCTTCCAAACATAAACATATAACCTCCCCCTTCCTGTGAATCTCAAGGGAGTCCTGCCACACATTCTTGAGTGTACACTTCATTGGCGCAATGATTCAGAGCAGCTCATAGCCAAATAAGACGAAACCCCCTCAGCTTGCCTACTTTGTCCGCATATGAGCTGCTTCTGTAGCTACATGGACTTGGCCACTTGTGGATTCATACACAAAGACAGAAAAACTTTGGGCTGCAGTTCTGTTAGAGCTGAATGCTATTTGTGATCAGCGACTCTGAAATTTGATTTTTAAACCACTATTATGTGTACAGCAAAAAAGAGAGAAAAGAAAAAAGGGGAGAGGGGGTGTTAGCATAGAACAAGTGCAGAGTTGCCCTGGACTGGTCTGTTTAGACTTGACAGATCTCTTTTTACTTGAGCTGTGCCATTTGGCCTTCAAAAATTCCAGACATGTGCCAAACTGCAATGAACTTTGACTCCATTGTCTTGATTTTTTCAGGCTTCCCTGTTCTAAACTGGCCTGTATTGCTGTATGTGATTATTCTGAAAAGTCCCAAACTGAGAAAGCAGGAGATTGTCACTCAGCTCTTTTGATTACACGTTGGGCTCAGGGCTTTATTTTTTGAAACTTTTTGTTATCAGACTTAGTTCTTGTTTTTTCTTCATTCTTTTACCCCATCGCCTTTTCTAGAGCTAAATTTACAAAAGTTGTAACATGACTTTCAAGAATAGAAAAGAACAAAAGTGGTACCTACCTATCCCTGAAAAGGGGCTCATGCTAGTGACTAGTAAACAATAAAGTTGTCCCCTTCTCAGAGAAGCTTTAATCATAGGCATTTTTAAAGCAGGCAGATGGATACTTCCTTTTGCAAATATGTTACAAATCTGTAGAAAATGTGTAATGTTGTTAAAGACTTACAAAAGTCACCTTTTACTGTGTTGGTTTCTTTGGGGCTATTATGTGTGGACAGGCATGCCCTCATTGTGCTTGCATGGGTTTTCACCTCCTCTTGGATAATTCTTAATCAACCTTAGATGGGAAGCAAATTACATAACACACCGAAGAGCATAAAATGCATAGAATGAGGTGTTAGATGAATAAAAAAAGAGCAATACAACTTCAGGTGTAAAGTGCATTAAGTGGTTGATAAGAGTTGAAATGTAAGTCTGTTCTGTTCCATTATTATCCATTATATTTCAGAGTTTTATATTCGAAACTTTAATCATTTGGATCTGAAAGATTGGAATATTTTACTATAAGAGTCAAATCATGAATCTGTCTTATAACAGTGAGGGCCCAACAATAAAACTAGCTTTGCTTGCTGTAATCATTGATCTTTTCCAGTTTGTCCCAGAGAAGTCTGTTCCCGAACCACTTGTACTGCAGAGGGACAAAATCCTCAGTCATTACTCTGTAAATTTACATGGCAAAGTTGATCTGAAGCAAATATGAGGCTTGAGCAGTCTAGCTTTGTCAAATCTAGGCAATGTTTCCCAATATCTAAATTAAAATCACCTCTTTTATTACTATCTCTGCACCACAGCTAATTAAGGGAAGGGGGGGGGGGAATTGTGAATTCTTCTGTTACTTCAAATACAATTAATCAAGAAATTGCTTTCTTTGGTCTGTTTAAGGAGCAAAACCCTTTTCAGTGTCCACTTCAAACTGCCTAAACATGAGAGGTTGAACAAATGAATTAATTCTGTTGTTTAAAGTTTCCATTATCTAGTAAAAAAGTTTCAGCTAACGAGACAAACCAGTCCTTCATATTATCTGCTGACAGTGGTGAAGGGTTTTAGAGGTGTAAAATGTGTAATGTTCTCACAAATAGGAAGGTCCTTTTAAACTTTTATTTATAAAAGTAAACTATTGACTATTACACCTGAGTCATAATCCAAATGTATTTGTGATGATTAGTGCTTCAGGGAGCTTTTACACATGACTGATGATAATAAGTTGATGACCCAGAATGAAGCAAAACAGAACAGGAAACAGCTACATGACAGTCAGAATTCCTCCTTATGTCTGTCTTAGAAAAGTGTGTGTGTGTGTGTGTGTGTGTGTGTGTGTGTGTGTGTTCATGCTGTTTGATGCAGGGGAATGGACTTCCTGTTCAGGATGTGTTGTCATGTTGACTAACCAAGGACACCAAGAAAGGGAAAGGACCTGGCCTTCAGAATAAAAGCTTGGTATGTGCCGTCTAGTTAATATGATTAAAGGCATTTTAACAATCCCAAAGCTATGGAGGCTAAATAATTTGCTAATAGTCTATAAATAGAGCATTATATTAATAATGTGTTATATAAGGTCACAAACAAACATACAAACAAACATTGGTTTAATAAATATACATAGATTAGTGTGTAATAATGATTTCCAAAACAAATTAATATGTTCTCATAAACTTGCCTGAATTAATCCATTAAAATATATAGGACTTGAGCCAGTTTGTGGAAGTCACAGTGTTGCCTCTCCAACTTGAATACAGTGTCCGAGATAGTGAAAGGGGCATCCCTTTCCTGCCTAACTGTGTCTTGTGTATGTGATTAGAAATTGGCCAAATACATAGTACGCCAAAGGTGGAGGACAAGAGAATTCATGAGCATTTGTGTGTTGTGGATGCAAGTTTTAATCTGTGTCTGCACCTTCAGATTCAAAATGGGAAGGTGTTTTATTGTCTGATAACAGGTCTCTTTCACCAAAGAACCGAAATGTGAAGAAAAGAGACAGCATGACTGGATTCTGGATAAAATGCTTTCCTCTTCCTCCTCAATTCACCACTCATCTCCTGAACTGAAGTCAGGGCACTAACAAACAAAAATGTGCATATCAATTTCTTCAGATTTTGTTGCAGTTACTTATTGCCAGCAGATTACACATGCGACCCTGTGACAAGCTGACAACCAGCTGTAAGACAACAACTGGAACAAGGAAAGTTTCACTAACACAGGCAAACAGAGGCTAACAGTTGCGAACAAGTGTTATTGGCAGAAAACTTCAGGATGTTTGCGACAACTCGCCTCAATATAGGGCTGGTTAATCTGGGATACCAGGCATTTTCCTGGTGGGCCGATGGGCCCAAAAAGTGACTCAAGGGTAAAAACATAAAATACTTGACACATAGCCTTTTGTTTATTATTATTTTTAGCTCTTACACCTATTGTTAAGTATATGTATTCCTCAAATATATTTAAAAATTTTTTTTTATATACAAACAGTAACAGAAAAAAAGTTGGTTATGTGGTACAGCCTAAATTTAATGTTTTGATCTCTTTTGGCTGACTACAACATGTTTGTCCTATAGCAGCCACCATAGTACTGAGAAGAGTTGACTGCAACAGTGTTGGGGAGTAACGGAATCCGGTTGTTCAGTCTGACGTCACTAGCCGTGTCTGGGTCTAAACTCCGCTGCAGGTCCACATATCAAACGATCACTGTGGCATTACTGAGAGTTGAAAAACTGTCTAAAGTCTTTCATCTTTAATAAAATGATCAGCGTTCTGCTCTACCAGGTGTAACAATTGAGTTTAACATCCAGGCATCCATGAAAACGGAATTTATGACATTTAACGGAGTTAGAAGTTAGCAGGGAGTTAGCTCGCTAGCTTCTATCTAAATACAATATAGCATGTCCTGACTGCGGGGTTTTGGAAACAAATTAAAACGTACAGCTCTGCTATCACTTCCAACATAAATGAAGACAGAAAACTAAACAGCAGTGACGTTTGTAGGGTTACTGAAGTTGGGCTAGCTGGTATATAATGATGTGCTAGGTGACCGCTAGCGACACAGCTATGTTAACATAATATAAACAAGCTAACTTTTTTTCCACTCGATAAAAGTTACCGTGAGTGTTCTCGGTGGTCAGGAACAAATGTAATCGCATGGCAGGATGCTGTAAAAGGACCAAACTTCAGCCAGGAGAACAACTGAGATAATCCATCCACAATACGAGGTTAGTCATTCATATACTGCTGCATAGGCTGGGCTGTAGTTACATCCTAAGGTTTTAAAGACTGAGCTTAAATAAATGATTAGTGGTAATAAAAGCCGAGGGAGGTCAACAGGGATCACTGACTGTTTTAGGAGCTTTTTGAGATCAAATAGAAGAAAATACATAACATTAAACATGTTAACAACACAAAAGCCATATTAAACGCAGACTACTTTAGACCCGGAAGTAGGATTCGTCACGTCATCACTGAACAACCGGATTAAGACTTGACTGTACACTGTGTTCGTGTTTTCCTCCGAAACAATAAGTTCCGTTGGAGCAGCCTTTCAATGCCTCTCTCTGTCTCTTGCTAGCAAACTTGACCCAGGCAACAAAGTAAAGCTATTTTTTTCGGCTATGAGCCCGACACGGAACCCGACATATTCGCCAGAGGTCCCTTTACTATGGTTCGGAGCCGCGGACCTTAAGTAATAGTAATAAATCACATTCATGTAGTTGTAAACAGCATGATAATATATTAAGTAATCCAAAGTATTCAGAATACGTTACTCTAATTGAGTAACGTAACGGAATACGTTACACAATACATTTGGGGCATGTATTCTGTAATCTGTAGTGGAAAACATTTTAAAAGTAACCTTCCCAAATTCAAATTCATATTTTATTTGTCACATACACAGTCATACACAGTAGGATATGCAGTGAAATGCTTAGACAACTGCTCATGACCTAAAATAAAAGACTATGAATAGGATAGGAAATAAATATCCTATTCTACTGCAATTATGCAATCTGCATAACTGCAGTAAGTGCAGTAAGTGGTTTTTGATGGAATTTTACTGCTTTTTCAGCAGAGCATCATACATAGTGTTTCTCACAACTGTAATGAATTGTAGTGGCACAAACATTTCTAGGACTTTTTTTTGTATGTGTCTCCTGATGGGCTGGATCCAGTTTATTTCTCTTATATGTATTTTCTCTCTATTAATGGGAGTTTTTTATTTGGAAACGGCAGTGCTTAGTGGCCAGCTTATTTTTGGCAGGAAGAGAACCTGGGTGTATATGGACTTGATGGAATGTCTGAGCATTTATGAATTATCATCACAACAACAGTAACTACCAATGATACCATGGCAATGATTGAAAATAACTTTAACTATCTATTATTTATATTTATTTATATATCTAGCTATCTTGAAATAAGCTCAACTGTCCTGAATCCCTTCCTACATTTGAAATTGTACATTTGATTTAAATTCCCAACTCCCGGTACAGCCGAAAATCATGCTTTTGTTTTGAAGGGAATTCGACGGAAGTTGTTTGCTGTGTTTGGATGTTTAACTTGACTTTAGCTAGTTGGAGCGAGCCTATGCTTGACACACTTACCCACACCATACGCATACACAGTGTCGCGGCCTCTCCCCGAGCTTGTTCCGAGATTACGCCGCTTTCATCGGTTAGACAAACTAACGAATCGCCGGTGAAAGACTGACTCTCCCCCCGCCCTGCGCTGTGTGTGACGCTGGTTAGCTCCGGTACAAGCTGGGAATGTGTTTTATTTAACAATTACATGACGACTTGTTCTCCGTACGGTTGCGGGGGGGGGGGACGCTTGTTAGCAGGGCTGAGATTTTAGGCATTTTAAAGTTGCACCGTGGGTGCATACAGGCCACAACACCTCTAGCTAACTGAGTAACTTGATAAGGGACAGACAACATCTTGGGCGTCTGTGTTTGTTTCGGTGAAGCCGCGGAGGTCTCCAGCAGCAGCCATGGCAGGGACACGGACAGCTGCTCTGCTGGTCCTGGTGTGTTTACACTTCCATCGCTCCAGCTCTTTCAACCTGGATGTGGATAATCCCTACGTATATCCCGGACCCGAGGGGAGCTACTTCGGCTTTTCGGTGGACTTCTTTAAGCCTTCAAACAACCTACAGTAAGATTTGTAGCAGAGTAGATGGTTATGGTAATGATGGTGATGGAGAAGCGCCTGTTCAATGTAACCTTTGGTTTGCTTTACTTTACATTATATATGCTTCTGTTAAAGTACTTTACTAAAGTTTTACACTTGGACCCTTTTCTTTTTTAGTGACAAGTTCTGAGTTGTTAAATCTTAAAAACATATTACTATGACAACAAATTAGAAGACAGTCCATTAACAGCAGTCCATTAACTTTTAACTTTTACTTCAGTTCTTTATTAACCAAATTGTAAGGGCATAACTTTCAAGAAAAGGTTTTCTCTGTTCACAGCTACACCAGCTGTAACTTTATTTAAAACACAGACAAACAGGAACAGTGCCCAGAGGCCATGTAGGCTTGTTGCTCTAAACTCTCGTCTACTGAAGCAGTGGATATCCATGGTTATCCAGTTTTACTGAAGTGAAAGTAGTTCTCTCAAAAGAACACTACTGATCTAGTTGTTTTCAGACTCTTTTTGTTTAGTTAATTTACATCATTAACAGACTAAGTGCAGTCCCAAAATAGTGCCGATGCCCTCAGTCATAGAGGAGGTTTAACCTGAGGTGCATTTAAATTGTGTTTCCCATATTGTCAAGTGTCATAAAATTTCCTGAAAAACGTTTAAAAAAAAAATTCCCTGGAGTGTGTGAGATATCCTAATAACAGTCTTATCATCTGCCTTGATGCTTCCTGGTCTTGTTTCTTGCTGTATCTTTAGAGTGTCTGCATGAAATGATAGCAAAAAGCTGCCTGTCATCCTCTCTCCCTGCACAGAGTTTCTGCAGCAGTTTTGTAGATGCACATTAACAAACTTGCACCGTGCTACTTTTTATGTATATTAAGAAAACAGGTTTTTCCCCAGACATCTTTAAAACATCATCCTATAACCCATACCCCAGTTGTTCATTTTTTTGTGTGTGTTAAATCAATTCTTGTGGATTTCATTCCTTGTTCAACTAAACATATATCAGTAGGTACCCAGGAAAATGTCACTTTATTGCAGATAACTCCCTCAGAGCAGAGCCCTGTTGACCTTGGTACAGGAACATACTCAGATTCTGTAACTTTGTGTTTTAACTTAGTATCTAAAACCACTATGCTGTGTAGAGAAACATCGATTGCCTGCCATTTCTCCATATTTGAAAAAATATCAGAGGAATGTTGCAGTCTCATGTGACAATAGACTGACAGAGCGGACAGACAGTTAGAGACTTTCATCTACAGTAGCCTGAAAAACATTGAATCCTTTTAGTAACACTAATTAGATCAGCACTGAAATTCACTGCTCATATTACAGTTATTGCCATGGTCAGAGGGGATTTGTATAATATGATATCAGGACTGAAGCTGGCTGACCATGGCTTAATAATGTAAATATTTCCTCATACAGAACACGGTCACTGTGGAGACTCGTTTGGTTCTAGTTATTAAAAAGGAACTATACATCTTTTTTTCCTCACAGGGCCTAATGCATATCAAGCATTTTGGTTTACTGAACCCAGAAGTGACTGTGGTTAGATGATAGGGTGGAATGATAAGTTGTCGCTAGGAAACGTCATCTATAAACCATATGGGTTGAATGCACAGTTACAGATGCCTACTAACTAGTGCTAAATAACAGACAGACACTACAATTTCACTCACCAAAACTGAATCACAAACCTCTTAGATGCTCCGTACCACACCCATGTCGTCAACAGTTGTTTAAACATAGTGACTCCAGTTAGTGAAGCTGAAACCCAGCGGGTACCAATCAGCTACAGCTAAACATGTTGTCAGCATTCAGATGGATGAGTTATGAAAATAAATACAAATTCCCTCATACTAGAATTGTTATGAAGGTGGACACTCTCCACGGAGGCCAAAAACAGTTTTTACACCAGGCTGTAAACAGGCCTTGTAATGCATCTATGGGCGCTGTCTCACATTTAGAGCTATATATTGTGTTAAATAAAAAAGGTGTTACAAACAATAAGCTACGCTAAGTTCAGGCTATCATTCAATTTTTATTAGCTAGTTTGAGGAAGCAGTAGTGGCTGGAAGCTAAAAAAAAAACCCCAGCGTAACAATGTGTGGCCTGCAGTAATTACACGTATTGAGAGATCACTTGATTTGTAGCTGTTTTCCTGTTGTTGTTTTACTTTTATTCTACTGACTGTGGTTCCTGTCAGCTTTTAAAGCAACCACATCAATCAGTACAACCACCTCGGTCTCACTGAACCAGCAGCCTTTTAGCACGGCAGTGCTTAACGAATTAAAAGTATTCATTCGTTTTATAAGTGGTCAATACATTAGGTAGTGAAAACAGTTGAAAAGGAAAAATGTCCACTGAATGGCTCTTTATAAACAAATCCTGTTTCGCACTGCAGGGAAACCTTAATGCTTTGAACAAAGACCAACTGTTCACATGAAAACTGTTGGCTGTCTCTTGCAGCATCGCTACAAGCAGCCAAATTATGTTTTGTATTGCTGAGGAAATTTGTCATGTTACTGCAGCATCTACAGACGGGAGATGATCTGTGTTTCATATGTTTATTATATTAAGAACTAGTCAGTAGGGCATGTTCCAGGCAATGATACTTTTGGACAAACACTCACTGTTGCAGCACTGTGTAGACCTCTTTAAAGGGACACCAATACTACATATGAAGGTCATTGTACCAGTCTTGGTCAGTAGTACCGATAATATCATCTTGTGGTACTCTGGGTGTAGATTTGTAGTCCTGTGTGATTTATGCAGAGTAGAGACATCAACACTGGAAGAAATGAGCAGGTTGAAGATAAAAGCAGCATCCAGTGTTTTCTTTCTTTTCTTTTTAAATTTAGTTTGAACCGTATTAGAGACTAAAGTTCTGCTTTCACCACAGACTTCCTGGGGAGTATGAGTCTTTTGAGGAACTCCTCTACTTAAGATTTAACTGGATGAACCAGAGTTTAAAGTTCTGTGAGATGGTTAGATCCCCAGAAAGTCCTTGCTTTGGTGCTAGATAAAGTGTGTTTATTAGTTCACTGTTCTTCAGTAAATTGAACACACGGCTGAACTCTTGGCCTTTTTATGCATTAATGCATATCCTTATGCTAACAATATCAATCTCAGTGCTAAATATAAAAACCTGCCTGAAATGTGCTGTTGTTGGTATTACTTACACCACAAAGTTGGACAGTGATGACGCCCTGACTATGAGAAGATGGGGAAAATCCCACTACCTCATCACTGCGCCTCAGAACCTGAGCGATATTGAATCTTAATAACCACCAAAGACTGTCATTGAACTCTATAGCAGGAATAAAAACAAAACAAAAACAATGCAGATATATAGCAATGCTGATGTTCATTTTATGTGTACAGCAATGATTTAAAAATCTGATTTATCGGTCGATATTTTTTTCTTTCAGACGCAAGAAATCTAAAAAGATTGTTAACATTTGTTATGAGCATTTAAACATGACACTGCAGTTCATAATAATACTGTTTTATTGTCACAAGCTGTGGACCGCTTGTTTACACTCTTCCTGACTCTGCTTGGATTAGCTTGTTGTCATGTTTGTGGCATTTGTGTGGCAGAGTGCACTCTGTATAAACTAAGCAACATCAGCACTCGTTTGAAGGGTATTTCTCCAAGCACTTCTTTTTTTTTTTTTTTTAAAACAAAAAAAAACAAACTGTATTTATTGGCTGTTATAAATATCATTGTGGGTATATCAACAAATAGCCAGAATTAACCAATATATTAACCCTGTCTATTTATCTATCAAGAAATATACATATTCGTATAGCTAATATGCACATTGCATATCCATATGCAAGTATTTGATGAGTTCTTACTCACAGACTTTCCTCATATCGAGTTCATTCACAGAAATTACTATGGCAGTAAAGCTCCCATACTTTGAAACACCAGCTGACTCATGTATGCACAGATTTTTAGACTGAGGTGGTAACAGATGACTGAAAGATTAAGCTTTGTTTCCTAAGCTGAATGAGACACAGTTTAGCCTCTCTTGGTCAAAAAGCCACAAATGCTCTCATGTAGTAATTATACTACATGAGAGCATTTGTGGCTTTTTCTGTATGAGTTGGTGGCTGTTTGTGTTACGGAATAACGTCCTCTCCTCTCCTCAGGTCAGACGTTCTGATTGGAGCTCCTCGAGCTAACATGTCTGCGGACAGCATTGTGGAGAGAGGAGCAGTGTACAGCTGCCCCTGGGGCGGATCCAGCGCCTGTCAGCAGCTGGTGTTTGACAACAAAGGTACCAGAAGACCCCTTAGTTTGGTTAAAACCTCTTCCCCATCACCTTAGGGTGGGTTTAACCTTCAGTATCTCTCCCTCCTTTAATGAAAACCACTTAGAATTTACATTTTAATTCCAGACCATGATAGATATCATGAACAGTTTTCAGTAAGCATATTACTGATTGAATACTGAGGGTTCAGCTCAGCCTGTTTCTGTTGTTTTCATGCTAAGACGCATTCAGGAATGTGCGTTGAAGCAGAATGTGTGTGGACTCGTCCATGTACTGGGAGTGACTGACAAACTGCTGCCTCCTTCTGTTTATCCATGTTGCAATCATCTCTCTCCAGCATTGATCATAATTTAGTAATTTACTGTTTCTCTTTGATTGTGAAAGGCCAGATGAGCAGAGCACTGTCTTCACTGTAAATATTTACACAGTGATAAACAGTTAGAATTTGGTAATGTTCTGTGATGTGGGTATTAATCCCTTTATTGTCTTCGTAGAATTTCAGTCATTTTTTTTCTGTGAGGCAGCAGCACCCACACGTTCCAGGAATCCTGGAAGCTTCACACAATAAAATGTCCTTTTCTTAGGTGCAAATGGTGATTATTTCCTTTATATGTGAATGAAATGATTATGAAGAACAGCAGAAGTTGTCAAGGAAATGTTTTTGGTCATGTCTGTTGTTTTTACCAGGGGAAGCCAAAGTTACTCACTTTCAGAGAATATGTGGCATTTTGGATCTATAAATGAGTAAATCTGTGTTTCACAGACTTTTCTGACTACCCCAAATGTGATCCAGAGCTTTAAATGTTCTCGAGTACTAATTAATCTGTGTTTTTGGCTAAAAACTGCTGTACACTGGTATCAAAAATAGCGGATAAACTGAAACTGACACTAGCTGGTGAACCATTGACCCACTCAAGAACCGTAATTTCTCTCAGGAGCTTAAAGAGAGTTCATATTGAGCTAAGATCTGTCAGGATTTTACTTTGTCATATTCTTTAGTTCATAAGCTAATAACAAAGCAAGTGTACGGCCTCCCACTTTCTGTTCAGTACACTAATAGTCTTATTGTCAATGAATAAGAGCTAATGAAGCTAAATGGCTAAAATAATGAATTCTACCTGTTTCTACAGAAAATGTTTTGAAAATGCAGAGCTGATAATATGTTTGCTTTGAAATAAAACAATGCTTATGTCCTCTTATAGTTTTACTTAAAGGGGCTGTTCTTGCGCATGGTGATTGGTCAGTTAGAGGTTAGTGACAGAACAAACTCACTTCATGGATTCTTTTCTCCTTACTTTCAAGCGGAAACAAACATGTATAAAGAAGCAATTGATTTTTGTGGTCGAATGAAAATTCCTTAGAAAATTTTCAGCTGATTTCTCACATCATGCCAGAACTCAGAATGGCAAAGTGGGACTTGTTTCGGTGTCATTCTTGCGACTCATGGGATTGCATCTATTTTCATAAGCCCGTCTGTCAAAACCATAATAAAAATGTCTACAATAAAACCATTTCCTTCCCTTATGAAACCAGAGGTTCAGATGGGTGTTCTTGAGTATTTAAATGTAAAAAAGGGAACTGTGTGTTAACTTTTTGTCCAGCAGACGTTTATGTTGCTGTCAGCTTTGCATACATGAAGTGTACATTTTTAAAGTCTCCTCTCTAGGCTTAAAGCCTATGTGACATTTGAAAGGTAAACAAAGAAAAGTTTTATAAGAAATCGTATCCGTTTTTGTTTTGTTTTTCCCTCCAGCCATGTTGGTGCCTGATGTTTTGCAAAAGTTGTACCATCTCCAAGCTTCTTCTTGGGAGATGATGTGCTCAGATGTGAACACACCTTCTTACTGCCTGACACATTTCATTTAATTTAATCATTTGACTTCTGCCTGCTGTTCTGTCTGGATGTCCTCCTTAATGATTCAGACTGGGAGGTGGTCAGTTGGCTGTAAGAACCTATAAGTGTGTTGTTGTTAAAAGTATTACATTCAGATGTCTTGTTACTTTTGACAACTTAAGAAGGACAAGCTGTGGTGTGTTCACCACTGACTTTAAAGCAGGAAGAATCACACCTCTGAATGCTGCGACACCCAGCACAACACTAGTGGTTTAAATTGCTTTAAATGTAAACTGGGTGTGTAGCTGGTTTATCGCTGGTGTTACCAAGGTCTCTTTGAGTGTCAACAGTATTGTGTCATATAAAGATTTGAAAGATGTCTATAAGTCTTTCAAAACAGAACTTATCCTCTGGTGAAACAGTGCAGTCACAGTGTTTCCAAATCACTGGTGACTGCACGCATTGACAGACATGATTTATAGTTTTCATAACGGGGCTGGGTAACTGTGGCTATATGATTAACTTTTCCTGCTAGCTTTCATTTTTTAAGAGTAGGTGTTAAATGAGTGACTGTCATCTTTTAGAGTGTAGGTTTAATGTCTTCTACACACTGGAGTGAAATACAAAAACACACCTAAAGATCCAAGGGAGAAAAATGGCAGGCACAGGAGAGCAAAGACAAGCCAGGTGTTGATGTTAGCTGAACAGTATGCTTGGGGCAATTGAGTTCATGTAGCAACCAAATCAAATCACTTTTATTGTCACATCACATGTGCAGGTACATTGGTACAGCACATGTGAGTGAAATTCTTGTGTGCGAGCTTCACAAGCAACAGAGTTGTGCAAAATACAATAACATAAACAGGCAAAATATACGAATGGCTAAATCTGAAACTAATAAATATATGTACAATATATAATAGTATATGCTGACACTGACACATGCTCTAATAATGATGGCAAAGCACTGACTGACCAAAGCGATGAAAAAACTTCTTTTTGGGTGCTTTGTGTTTTAAGCTATGTTTTTATGCACATTCTTAATTTGAGTTTAAGATATACCTAAGCTGAAATGTACAAGTCTTTTAAAGTCTAAAAAAACCACCCCTCTTAATCTATAAAAGCAAAGTGTGACAAAGTGCAGTGGAAAGAAATGATGACGTATATGAAGCATGTGACCTCAAGTTCCACTGAAGCTCTAGCTCCACTAAAGATGTGCAAAAACATCACATGAAAAAACAGAAACGTCATATTTCCGTTGTCTTTTCTACATTTTTATCTGGCACTCTTTCAGTTATCTCTTTTTCTGCTGTGGTGTTGGGGTAACCAACCAGCTACCTTTGGGTTTTTTTTGACATAGTCGTTAAGATTGACATAGCAATAGTGAATTAAATTGGTGGGATGGGAGATTTGCATTTGGTAACTAAGGAAATTAATTTGTTTTTCTATGCTTACATTTGCCAAGAAATCTCCAGTATACATACCTAACATATTTTACCCTAAACTGGAACCACACTTTCTGCCAGTTCCATTAAAAGAGGACATGGAAGACAAAGCGGAATGAAGGAAGTATAAATAGCCGGAGACAGGGCAGTATGTGTTTCTTTGAGCGAGGCTGTGTAGTTGAGCTTGGTTGGTATTCTGTGGGAGACCTCAGCCATGAAAATAGGAAGTTAAAAAACAAACAAACCACACAACACTCCAAAACAGTGACGTCCCGCCCCCTCCAGCATGGCGTCAATATTGCCCGTGCACAAGCTCTTTGCAGACAAAGAATACATGCAGTATCGTGTTAAAGCAGAGTTCATGTTGCTTTCACCATTTAAACCAACAGCGAATATTCTCCCTCCTCCTTTGAAAAATCTGACACTGATGTTTGACACACTTTGAGTGGCACATGAATAAAAACTGAAATCTTCACTGCCACAGTTAATGAAACTGCTTTCATTTTCCAGTAAAATAATGTTAGACATTCAAAGTTAGAACCTACAATTTAGCTCTCTAAATTTCTTTTAAAAGCCACAAATGCCAAGGATTACATTTTGTGTTGATCAACAGAATTGCTTTTGCTGCTTTTATTTTGCATTCATAAAACTAATATAGAATAGTGCAGGATTTAGTTGGAAACCTGCAGACTTAAATACCTTCAGCCTTATTATAATTTGGCTTTTTGGCAGAAGTATTCAGTGCTATGTACTGTACGTATATCTGTCTTTAATCAACTGATTTTGGCCTGTAGCTCTACAGCACTGGAATACCTGCTGAACAGTTGGCTTCATGCAGCCTGCTGTTCCAGGCCTCTTATGTCCATAAAAGGTAAATTTGTCTTACATAGCCTCAGTAAGTCTTGTAAAGCAGGCGCCTAGTGCAGGATGTTTACTTTTCAACTTGTTCAACTTCATCTCCTGATGTTACAGTCTAATTGATCAGCAAATTCCTTCCCATCTGCCTTAGAACAGGACACGGTCAGCACTGAGAGCCTGCAGGCTCGGACAGAAACCAAACATGTTCGGTGACACTCTTCTCTTTTGGTCGTAATGTAGTTAGTCAGTGGCCTAGTTATAATGCTGTGTGTGCACACACGTGTGAGTGTGTGTGCGCCCATGTGTGTGCTTTTCCCCACAATAGAGGCCTTTGTTGATGACCTGAGTAATTACTGGCCAAAAGCTTTACTGGACCAGAGAACAGAATTAACTGGAATTTGACTGTGTGTGTGTGATTGTGTGTGTCTGTCTCACAGTGACCCAGACTCAGCATTAATCTGTCCTGACTCTGGTTTTTTTCTTTTTTTGGGTTGTTTTATACTGTCTTCAAGAATATTGTGTACAGCAAATATATAACAGTTTTTATATATTTGCTTTTATGTGCAGCACATAAAATTAGGTCAGAGGTCATAGTAATGCTATTAATAATGCTCGATAGAGCTACTAAAAATGACAATAGGTTTTCAGAATGACAGGAACATGTCATCATAGGATGCTTTATGTGTATAATTGATTCATTTTATTACAACATATGATGTTATGTACAGTAACTGGTTATAATCTAAACTATTTACTGAACAATGAAATGAATGCTGCTCACACTTTATCCATGTAAATAAAAAGAAAATGTACTGAAAATGATCCCAGGTACAGTACAATGTGTTTCAACAGGATAAACTTTGCGGTTGTTTTTACTGCACTACAAACTTTTTAAAAGTACGAAGCACAAAACTTTTTAAAAAGAACAAAGAAAAAAAATGTGTAGAAAATACAAAACTTCCCCTAAAAGTGAGCTGAGAGCGAGTAAGTGAGCTGCCTTGGTGGAGGTTTGTTGTTCTCACCACGTGAATGTCGATAATAACAAATTTTTTGGTTAGCAAACAACAAACAGTGTCTGAGTTTGTTCCTTTTCAGATGGTAACTAGCTGGCAGGAAACAGTTGGCATCATGGCTCCTTGATTCACCACCATAATTACAGATTAGGTAAGACTGATGCAAGTTATTGCCAAACTGGGAAACTAATCCTTTTGTACTTCATCCCTCGTGTCCACTAGAGCACTCTTTTATCAACCAAACAGCTCTGAGAGTCAAAGAATTTGAATTTAGCTGGAACTGCCGAGGCTGGAGTTTCCCATCCTGGTGGGAAAATCCCAAACTGTCCGTGTGTAATATCTGCCCAGGCTTAAATATTTATCTGCTTATTGCTTGTAAATATTTATCTGATTTCTATGGGAGTCGTCCTTTTGTTTCACTAATTCGGAGCTCAGTCTGTTATTATGTTTTTGTTGTTTTGTTGTTTGTTTTTTCACTCCAGCTGGGAGCAGTCAAATGCCAGCTGTTGTCTCCTGACAGCTTTCCTATTATACACACAGTATCAGTCAGTGAAACCTGTGGAATCACAGGCATGTGGATTTGTGTGTTATAGTCCTCAGAGTAACTGCTATTTACATTGTATATGTACAAAGCTATTATCACTGTAAGTAACATTTTTTCATAATTCACATTTAAAACAGAGCTTTTAGTGACCCAAGTGCTGTACAAAGTATGTATGGCTACAGTATGTACACACACAAGAATGTCATTAAATGAAAAAGTAAAAAGTGGGCACAAAATACACAATTTAAGATGTTTGAAGCACCTCCATTGGGTTGTTTTGTTGAATGTTTTTCAATAATTTATTAAACATTGGTTATTCTGTGAAGATATAGTCAGATAATTTTGAGATTTTCAAGAACTTTGTTAAAGAGCAGTCGAAAAAGGCATGAAATGCTGCGATGGCACATACTGTCAGTGGTGTATAAGACTGTCATCAGTGTGCAAATGCCACTGTAAGGAAAAATGACGTATACTTTCTATTACATGGCATTACATAATTCCAGATGTTGTAGTTCAAATCCTGTTGCTTGTATAAATAAACAGCAACTGTCCATATGCAGTACTGTGCGAAAGAAGGTCAGGATATCTGGACTCAAGAGCAGAAGTGCTGTTTGGTCTCTCAGTCATAGTGAGACCCACTTCTCATCAGCATTGGTGATTCTCTGTAGCTCGGTTGGTCATTTTGAAACAAAAACACTTGTGTGTTTGCTAAAGTGTGAGGTCTGTAATGAAATGTCTGATGCAGAATGTAGGTGGTCATAATGGGAATCATACAGCGGTCCACAGGTCCATGAAAAGATGACCTTGATAGGGAGACTGGGGAAATTTTGTAGCCTTTTAAAACATGCGTCATAGCACGTGGGATGTGCTTATGTGTAATGGAGAGGGTGGCTACGCCAGTCTTGAATTAAATAAAAAACAAAAACAGAAGGACCATTAAATTTCAGTGTGGTGTTCATCATTCAGTGCTTATTAGGAAAAACTGTGCTTAAGATGGTAATTAATGGTGTATGTTTGCAGTTGTAGTCATGCTGCGATCTGTCTGATTGTCTCCTGTTTTTCTTCCTGAAATACTCATCCTGTCTGTCCTTCTTTTAGGACACTGGAGATTTTCACAGCACTGCAGTCATTTATAGCCACAGCTGTGTATGTGTCATAAGTCTATCAGAATTCTAAGTTTATCCATGTTTGAATGGTGCGTGTTGGCAGGAAAAAAAAACCATATGCTGCCCAAACGTTATTAAACATAGGTCAGAGCTTTCCCGTTGGAAAACTGCTGCACTAAACTTTTAACAAAGACTGTCCCATGTCACATTATAATTTACCAATCAGGAATCTTCCCTGATTAAGATGGAGTCCCGACAGTCGACCATTTATTTCATGTAGTTATTGTTCATTTGAAAAACCTGGACAGTTTTGTGCTGCTGCAGATTTTAAAAGGGGAAAACGGACATCTTGAGTATTAGTCCAAAATTTGTATTTGTGTGTTTAAAGATATTTTTCTGCTGCTTTATTTTGTGGCCGTTTCTTTTTTTACCATCGTTGTTCTCTAATTTAAATTGTTTAACAATGATCTTTTTCTTTTTGCAGACGAAAGGACGCGTGATGGGGCTAAGATGGAGTTTAAATCCAAACAATGGTTTGGAGCGTCAGTGCGATCTGATGGAGAACACATTCTGGTAAGAAACACGGCACGTAAAATGTCTGAGGAACAGCACTAACTTCATGCCTTGCCTCATGGACTTTCTGTCCAGAGTACCCAGAATGTTTTGTCTCACTGCCGTTTTTTTCTTCCTGCTGAAGTGAAGACCTCTGAACTTTTGGATTGTTCAATGTACTGATCTAGCATTTTCAAAATCCTACAATTCCTGGTTGTAGTATGCAGATGATTAAATGAATTATTTCCATGGTCAGTCCACACTTTCACATATCTGATTTGACCACAGGAGCTGCCCATTTAGAACCATTGTTTTGGGTAAATAAAGTGTGCCTTCTCCAGTGTAGGAGCCTCAGAGTTGTTCTAAAAATCCTGAAACCTTTGATCCAAACCTTTGTGGAAAGGTGAAGGACAGTACAGTGCATATAAGCTAAGAAAATAACACAGCATCTCATTTTGTTTTCGTCCACTGTTCTTGTTTCATTGCGGTCGGATATGTCTTAAGGTTTTGCATCAGTTTGTGCCAGTGGTGGGTTCTCCACCACAACTGAAACAGAAAGGCTGAAAGGATACACTACACCACCTTGCAAGAGTCCTCACAGTTAATGACTTAGAGGATGAAGCACAGTTTTACCAACAATCGACACCAACCATTTTTACACTGAACTAATATGTCGCTGGATTTGTTTTGTCTATGTGTGTATGCTCTGTAGGCGTGTGCTCCCCTTTACCAGTGGTCAACCTTAGGTGTCTCTGAGCGTGAGCCTGTGGGAACTTGTTACCTGAAGAAAGGAAACCAGGTGGTTGAATACTCGCCCTGCAGAACAGGTATGTTTGTTGCTTCCTGTCCTAGTATCTGCAGTGGAATTCTGTTCTTACCCCTCCCAGTTCAAGTGCATGATCTCAGCTACGGTGGCCACTGTAGGACAAACATATTTCAGAAAACATTTAGTCCGTTTTTCATAACAACCCGCAGCTGGACATGTTTCAATACTACATGTGCATTCTATATTTTAACATATTTGAGTAATATTGACACTTAGCAATACATTAGGAATAAGATAATAAGTGAGACATATTGTGCGATATTTTACATTTTTACCGTGGAGTTACCTCGAAAACTCTGCTCGCCGTTCATCTGTGATAAGCGCAGGCTGTCAGTCTGCTGTTTACCACAGCTGTCAGTATGATACAAGACAACGTGTCAGTGAAGCTCACTTCTGTTCAGTGACAGCGATACTGAGGTGAGTTTTTGAGGAATTTTTCTGTCAGCGCGTGCTGGTGGTTTTTGCTGCTGGAAGTGTTATTGAACTTGGGTACTTTTGAATAAACTCTCATACAATGTGAGAATGTAATCAAACTTCACGTCAGAAGTAAAGTGTGATTTTTAGCACACTCCAGCCCAACATTAGCCTATAACCAGCTGTTATTGTTTAGCTGGCTCATTCTCAGATATCCAGAGACTGGAGGGTCGCATTTTTAATTTGCTGTATAGTTTCAACTATGTCAGGAATAAATGAGCATGTTCATGCACATTTTCATGTTAGGGCTCTGACCTATGTTCAGTTCAGACTGAAGTAAGATCTTCAGTAAGGAGGAAAAGGATGAGGTGGAAATGAGGAAGGAGACAGCAGCAGAGTATGAGACTCATAATAAAATATTAAATAACCTCAAAAAATGACTTTTTTAGTTTTTTGTATTTAATAGATATTTAAGCAGTTAGTTTGTTAGTTTTTACCCCACTTTACAGCTGGGTGGCATGGACACCCAAGTTTGTCAGTGCGATAACTCCAGCATGAGGCAACGTAGGAATTCAGACCATAGGCACGTCTACTAAAAAGTCTTGAATGAGTTTGAATCTCAGTGACCTCGTCTTCAAGGTCAGGATAAGAGGTCACGCTTTCTGAAAATCTTGTCATCATATATCATCATATCCTTCTATTTGGTGCTTTATAATAAATTCTGCTATTTTATTTCTTCTCCAGATAAAAACTCACCAGAAGGGCAGGGCTTCTGCCAGGCTGGCTTCAGTGTCGATTTCCTTAAGGTAGGATTCACACACGCTGTCCCCAAATAACCTGTTTTGTAAATTGCCTCAAAGCGCTCATTGTCAACTACGTCAGGAGTTAGTGAGGCTGTCTGCAGTGCTGCTGCTCTTGGAAGTTAGGTGCCAGTACAAATGAACAAATGAGTACCTAATCCAATAGTAATGTTTAGATTAGTGTGTGAGATTGTTATTTTTTTTAATTTTTATCATCCCTTTAGTTTGTTTTTGTGGACAGTAAACAGGTGGAAGAAAATGTAGTTTTAAATGAGTGTATCTTAGTTTACCTAGTGCACCTTGTTTATATAGACAGGAAGCAGCATGAAGAGAGAGAGAAATCTGTCTGGGATATACAGGGTGGGCCATTTATATGGATACACCGTAATAACATGGGGATGGTTGGTGATATTAAAGATGTGTCACATGGCCCTCTTCCTATTGAAAAAACAAAAGTTGTATCCAAGATGGCCGACTTCTAATTGGCCACCATGGTCACCAACCATCTTGAGGAGTTTGCCCCCTCACATATACTAATGTGCCACAAACAGGACTTTAATATCACCAACCATTCCCATGTTATTACGGTGTATCCGTATAAATGGCCCACCCTGTAGTTTTGCAGTTCAGAGCCACATCCAGGAAATTAAATATTGAGTTTTGCTGATTAATATTTGTTTAATCAACAAAACTCAACAACTTGCTGCTGGACGGTGATTTTAAACAAGTCAAGCCTCACACTGCTGGCGCTTCCATAAATGGTTCTGCATAACAGCATTTGCTCATAAAAGAAATTTCTCACAGCATTTTTCATGTAAGACAAGTTAATGAATTCAAAAACGAGTTTAAGTTATAGGATCACTGTAGTACTTAAGATGTATGCTTTGGAGATTCTCATAGCATCTTAATACTTCAGTGTCTGTGGGATGACATTCCTATAGATAAAGGCACGACCAAATGAGAGTTGGAGAAAACAGTGCAGGCTGTGGAATGTTGTATACACTGCACAGTTAAGCGATTTTGAATCAGGAGATAAAAATGCAATAAGTCTTCAGTTGCAGCAGATTGTCCTTTCATCAACCATCAATTTGAGGTTTTTAGTTTAGTACAGCAGTGTCACATTCAGCTAGAATTCACTGCCTCTCTATTTGTTACAACATAATGCAAAATTAATAATGGTAGAAATGAAAGATTTGGGGCGAGGATATGATCCCAGTCAGGGGAGCATCTGTACTGAATCACTAGTTCAGTAAGTTGAACTGTTAACCCTTTGGAAAAGAATGTGTTTTTTTACTATGAGACTGAGTAAGGAGTGCAAGACAAAATCTGGATTTTCCTTTCCCCTCTCCTTTTTTATGTCTTCAGAATGACAAAAGGGTGGTGGTGGGAGGACCTGGCAGCTTCTACTGGCAGGGTGAGTGTAACACTGACTTACGTGTAGGCGTTTGTGTGTGTGTTTCCTGCTGCCACCTTAAAGCAAGTGTGGTGACTCACACATGAAGACAAACAGTTCATTTCCAGGTCATCCAGCCAGCCCTGTTTTCACTGCCCCTCTCTCTGTTTTTAGTTCAGGGTGAACAGACAGAGACCGGCACCTTTTTATGAATGACAAGTAGTAACAAATAAGGCTATAACAGAGCATTCAGGCCGAACACTGTGTCAAAAAGGTGTTTGTATATCCCTCCACATCGTTGATAACATGGTCTGCTGCTCGATGAGGCTTTCAGCTGAGCTGTCAGTGGTTTTAAAAGCTGCTGGATCAGCATGAGCAGTGTGTGCTGTGTCACTGTGGGGTCTGGGGGCAAGAGAACATTTACTGTAACTGTATTTAAATATAGTTTTACGCTAGGTACTTTACCCCTTTCACGCATAGTGGTCACAACAGTGGACAGTTATTCAAGGCCTGTTTTCTTGTATTTGTGTCAGTGTTGATGGTATACTTGCACATAAACCACTACATTGGAGACTGATGTGTCACTCCATACCCTGCCACCCACTCCAAAGGTGATGTTGTCCACCTAAGTGGACTTGTAAAAAAACTATTTGAAAAGTGCATGTTTAAAAAATCATGTTCAAAAATCTGTTTTTTCATGCCTAAAGATGAATAAAAATACTTAATAATAATAATAATAATAATAATAATTCATCAGAATCAGAAAGACTTTATTTATCCCCAAGGGGCAATTAACATACAACAGAGCAGCATGACGTTGAAGAACAGGACATGGCATAAACATGAAAGGGTTAAAGAAAGGTAGTTTTTCTGAGTCTATCCACTGGAATACAGAGTCATAACTATTGTTTTATAACTCTTAACTGAAGTGGACTTTGTATTCAAGTTCAAATTTGGTCCTAAAAACTGTTTTGCTTGTGAGCTGCATATAAAATTCATTTTAACTGTTGCAATTTTGATCAGCATGTGTGGTTGGAATTGAAGCACCCAGTTTTTGTTTTTTTTTCTACGTTGACAAAAAGTAACTCAGATTAAAAAATAATGAACAAAAGAAAAAGCTGTTATTGTGATGTTGTCTGTAGCGTAGTTTTCACAGGTACAGTTGATCAGAATGTTAACAGCTATAGGAAAAAAAACACTGATCTCAACTTGTAGTTAACGGCATTACTCACTGCACCATCTCACTCTGGACCATAGCATGCATCATCGCACGCTTAAGATTTTAATGAGCAGGTAAAGCTATGAGGTGTGTGTGTGTCTGTCTGTCTTTCTATATCTGAGCAGCATTTTGTAATGTTTGTCTGGCCATCTGATATTAGAGGGTGTGACATGGATTATACCCCGAACGCTGAGTCAGTCACACAATTTTTTTTCCCCCCTTTATGGTCATAGTCTTCCTGCGCCTTCCTGTGTTAGCCTAATGATTGTTTCCTGTTGAGTCAGCACTCACAGTTACACACTCCACACTGTTGTTTCTGATTTGATAGCTGTTAATGCTGCGTCTCTGTGGCTCCTTTAATTACAAGTTGTATGTTTTTTGTTTTTTTCTCGACACCAAAAGTGCGTCAGTGTGTAAACACACATGTGAAAGAACTTTTTCTTTCTGCCCTTTACCTCCTTCACTTTTTTTCTGTTCCCCTAAATTGCTGGTGTTTTTTCACTTTTGTCTCTTGTGCTCTAACATTTTTCTTTTCCATCTTTTTTTCTCTCTTGCTCTCTATCCTCACTCTTTCCTTGTGTTCTGTCTTGCTTTGCTCTTCTTGTTCTCCTCCATGCCGTCTCCTCTGTCTTTTCTTCTTCTCTCTCCTCCTCTCTCTTCAGGTCAGCTGATCTCGGATGACGTCTCAGAGATTTTTACCCGCTTCACTAATGATTACTTCACCCGTTATGGAAACACGCTCTCCACCAAGTCAGCCAATGCCCAGTATGACGACAGTTATCTTGGTAACTACACAATCACGTACACACCTTCAGTCAGATTTTCATAACTTCTATGTTTATGTCTCAGAGCTCTTTGTTAACCAGTGGGTGGAATCCATCTTTTGCATGTAGTCTGTGATCATCATATTAGTGCTGGTCTACAAGCAGGACCTGGTATAAAGAGATAAAAAAAAAAAAACCTGCTGCTTGAGTTTTTTTATGTGTAAAATAAATAACTGTCAAATATAAAACTATGAAAGCAAAGTTTAACAGTAAAGCATTTACACAAATTACAACGTTGCAGCTGCAAGCTTTGAGAACGATCCAAACACAGAGGATGAACTTTTCTAGTGTGTCTAGCTTTTGAGAATGTGCCTGTAAATTACAATATGTTTGAATTATATACACAAATTCTTATTTAGAGGTCCTTGTGCATCTTTAAACATTTTTTGAAACGATCAAACCCCAGAAAATTTGAACAGTTTGACCGAGAGACTCTGTGATTGTGTTCACAGGATACTCTGTGACAGTTGCAGACTTCAATGGCGATGGAAAGGACGGTAAGAGGGATAATGAAGGGGATTTATATAATGCAAGTGTACTGCAAATACACCAGTGTGAAATGTTCACACAGTTTTCACACACTTATAAAGAAAAGGCTCGGAGTGAGTTGAATTAATTGCTCTGTTTTTTAAAGGCAGTGTCCCGTGGACGCCCAGCTTCCCTTTTAAAGCCACAGTAAATGTAACAGTGTTGGGTTTTTTGATTTTCATATAAACCAAGTCAATGGCATAATTATAACAGCAATATTTGAAGCAATAGCAAAAAAAGTCACATCTGTAGTTAGATGATAACCAGTCTGTTAGTGTCTATCTGTTCAACTTTTTATGCTTCCACAGATTTTGTGACTGGAGTACCGAGGGGGGAGAAGGCGCTGGGTTATGTAAGTGTTACAAGCTCACACACACTTCTCAATGTTTGAACTATGCCAAGTTACGGCTGTTGTCCTAGAGCTTCCATAGTGCAGGACATGCATATTATCCAGTCAGTCTGTGGTCAGAGAGTGTACCTACCTCAGGGCTTTAGGCAGAGTGCTTCATAGCATCTAACCAACAATTATCAGCTAGTGCTCTGCTTCAGATATTCACTGTCAGTCTTCTCAAGCTCAAGCTGTGATTGGATGATTGGTGGTTTCTCTTCATCTAGTTGTATAACAATTTAAAGCAAACCGTTATTGAGAGTTCAGAGTTTCAGTTACAAAGACTAACTTCAATTCTTCTTATGTTCATTACATATGGTTAGAGTAATAAACCCACACTTTAAAGACTTAAGATTTTTTTTCATTAGGAAACATAAGCTTGCTGTTAAATATTAATCATTGTGGCTTCATATTGCATTGCAAATAAAACACAGAGAAAAATAAGCTAAAAATACAGCACTGTCTACAGCACCATGTGTATCCGGTCGTTAAGTGATGACGTGACGAATCCTACTTCCGGGCCTAAAGTAGTCTGCGTTTAATATGGCTTTTGTGTTGTTAACATGTTTAATGTTATGTATTTTCTTCTATTTGATCTCAAAAAGCTCCTAAAACAGTCAGTGATCACTGTTGACCTCCCTCGGCTTTTATTACTGCTAATCATTTATTTAAGCTCAGCTTTTAAAACCATAGGATGTAACTACAGCCCAGCCCATGCAGCAGTATATGAATGACTAACCTCGTATTGTGGATGGATTATCTCAGTTGTTCTCCTGGCTGAAGTTTGGTCCTTTTACAGCATCCTGACATGCGATTACATTTGTTCCTGACCACCGAGAACACTCACGTTAACTTTTATCGAGTGGAAAAAAAAGTTAGCTTGTTTATGTTATGCTAACATAGCTGTGTCGCTAGCGGTCACGTAGCACATCATTATATACCAGCTAGCCAAACTTCAGTAACCCTACAAACGTCACTGCTGTTTAGTTTTCTGTCTTCATTTATGTTGGAAGTGATAGCAGAGCTGTACGTTTTAATTTGTTTCCAAAACCCCGCAGTCAGGACATGCTATATTGTATTTAGATAGAAGCTAGCGAGCTAACTTCCTGCTAACTTCTAACTCCGTTAAATGTCATAAATTCCGTTTTCATGGATGCCTGGATGTTAAACTCAATTGTTACACCTGGTAGAGCAGAACGCTGATCATTTTATTAAAGATGAAAGACTTTAGACAGTTTTTCAACTCTCAGTAATGCCATAGTGATCGTTTGATATATGGACCTGCAGCGGAGTTTAGGTCCAGACACTGATAGTGACGTCAGACTTAATGACCGGATAGAAAAGAGTAAGAAAAGAAGACATAATGAAGTACAAATTTCTCTTGGGTTTAATTTTGTAGTTTGGAGTCACGTCCAGGATATAAATATTGAGGTTTGTTGATTAATTTTTAAGTAATTGTTGGAGCCAAGGGTATAATGCAGCTGATGTGGGCTATTATAAACCAGTGAAACTGCTTGCACTGGCTTATTACTGCATAAGTGAAGAAGTGGCAAAGATCAGAGAAAGTTGTATAGCAGAAACAGATTTTTTTTTCCCTTTCATAATGTCTGGTAAACTTTTAGAGGGGCTGGACCCTTAGATTAGGAACCAGTGCACAAAGCTGGATTCAACGGTGCTGCTGACATTTGATGATTCTGTGTTATTACTGTAAATGTGTTATGTCAATAACAGAAGCAGAAGATGCTTTATTATTGTGAGATGCACAGCAGCACTGCTGAGTTCTAAAAGCGTTAATGGGGATTTAGCTGCTGATCTGTGCTGTGTTTCGATGTTTTAGGTGAACATCTTTAACGGCGCAGTCATGGAGTCCATGATCAACTTCACAGGGTCACAGGTGAGTTGTGGGACAGCCATACTCTGTGGCACAGAAAGCCACAGCTGCATGTTTCAAAGTGGGTTTGCCCCTGAGGATATAATCAGTAAAACAAGGGGTGGAGAAAAACAAAAAATCAGCAGGCGTTCTAGATCAGTTTACAGATTGCACGAGGCCAGTTAGAAATATTGGAAGTTGACACGGGTGTTTGGTTGCCTGGAGGAGACGAGCATCAGCGTGCATTGTAATGTAACAGCTTGTACTATACCGTTTTGAACCTGCTTTGAAATACGGTCTGATTGTGGTTTATTAATGAGCTGTTCACCAACAGTTACTTTTCAAGAAGCTGTAATCCAGATGATATTCACTTATTACATTGAGAAAAATGATCGATCATGTCTACACAGAGGGGTTATATTCAGCTGCACATTAAGCATCTCAGTGAGCTGCAAATGTTTTTTTAGTTTGCTGTAAAACACCTAAATGTCAGAAGAACAGAGCAGTTTTTCCTGCTACCACAAAGAAACGTGCTGGATGCCTTTTTAGTAATGGTCAGTGTCAGATGGCAAGAAGAAGAGAGCTGCTCCTGTATCCACTGTATTATTATTTTGGTAGTTCTGAAGGGTTGAAGAAACCAGGCTTTGGATCTTTTTAGGTGTAGAAGATCCTGTGAACACTGATCTTAAATCAAGATGTAAACTGCTCCAGATGCAGATGTAGCAGAGGGGGAGGAGGGTGGGGAGGAAAACAGACTGTCATCGCTCGAGTTAATTAGTTCCTCTTCGTTTTCCTGTCTGTCCACCATAGCTCCCTCTCTGAACTTTGTAACCTCACTTTTCAGCTTCCTGCTGCCTGCTTTCTCTTTAAAGAGACAGACGCCTCTCCCTGACGTCAAGCCTCTCACTCCTCCTTTAGTTTTCTCTGAATGTCTTCTGTTTATGCGATCTCACCTCTGATATCATTGTGCTAGTCACTGGGTTGTGGTTTGAGAACGGCCTCTTATTTCACTCAGAAGCCGCTGATGGACTGTGTTTCTTTACGAGGAGAAACATCATTCTAGCTTGTATCAGAGATGCAGCCATTACATCACAACTATTTACAGAGATATAACATTGAGTTCCTAAAGACTATTAACTTCAAAAGGCCACAGTAGTCTGACAGGCAATAAATGCTTTTGATTTTGTAATGCTAATATAATATACTTAAATAAAAAGTTCAATCTAAAGATTTCCAATCTGACCAAAATGTTTGTGACTGCGTGTTTTCTTGTGTAAACTCATGATTCCATCTCCTCGACTCTCCTTCGCTCTCATCTTGTAGATGGCTGCGTACTTTGGACATTCAGTTGCAGCTTTTGATGTCAACAATGACGGGTGAGTACGTGTTTGTGTGTGCTCATACAATTTCCCCATCTGTGGTTTAAGACAAGCCCTCCAATAAAAGAATAGATATATTCTTCTGTACGTAGATATCCGTACAGCACCATCCATGGAATTTATGGCAGAACAATTTTTGTCACCACAGTGCAACAATAGGATGACAACATATTTCCACTGAACTGTCTCTCTTTGCAGTTGGTGGCAGTTGGGGGTATTATTTGCTGTGTTTTGCTGCTATTTGGTGTGGTTCTGTGTGTATGTGTGAGTGTGTATCAGTGTTTTCTGCCGTGTTAAAGCTACATATTAAACCGGAATCCATTTTTCTTTAAATATCTGAATCCTACTTCCAATCACCATTAAAATGACAAGAGCTGACACTTAGAAGAGCTAATGTTTGTCCAGCTTGGGTAGTGTTTGGGGGAAATATGAATGGCAGATATTTTTATATTAATGCGTCTCTAAAGTAGACTTTGGTGTACTTGTACCCTCGATAGTGAAGTGAGCTCTGTTATTTTCTCTTGCGAGAGCTCCCGGGTAATTTAAAAGCACATTGAAGACTTTTTACAACTGCTTTTGACCTCTGGAAACGCTCAAACTTCAACACTGTTCACTTTGCTGTCAGCTTGAGCTTTGATGGCCTCTTTTAAGTGAAACCAGAACGCGGCTAAATTTGGAGTGTTTCGAGACTTTACACGTTTGTGAAGTTTGCGGTGGTTCATACACTTGTTTACGTGTTTAGTTGTGTGCCAACTAAAATAAGTGGTGTGAGAGAAGCTGGGTGCTAATGCCATCGCTTTAAGGAAGTGGTGAAAATTATCAAACACAACCACCAAACCTCTCAGAGGATGTTTGACCATCTTATCAGTGTTTCTGTTCAGCATGCTAACAAACACTGACTGCTTGTTCCCATCTGCTCCTGTTGTGAGAGTATTGTGTTAACTGGTTGATGATGATAAACAGCTGGTTGGTCTCTATTGGTGCGTTTAAGAAAGAGGAAATAATGAGTGTCAGTAAATCTATTAAAATCTATTTATCTGGCAAAGAATCAGAGTGGGTGAAATGTGGGTAACATTGTGGAAATGTGATACTAGAGTTGTTGTTGTTTATCAGTCGACACAGCTCTGATGTCTTCTGAGTGACATTTAAGTCTTTCCGCTGTTGTTGATGGAGCAATGCTGCACGGCACCTTCTAAAGTAAAAAAGCAGTTGAGATAAAATCACTCCATACTGAGCGATTCGATGACTCGGTGTATAGTTTTGTTTAAACAGCCTTTTCACCCGTTCTTGTGCCATCTCTGTCCTCTCTACAAGCACTCTTCTTAGTGTCAAACAGATCACAAAGGGATGTAAAGGATGACAGACGCTTTGCCCTTAGAATAATATGGATACACTGTGTTTTAGTTATAAATATAAAATGCAGATGAATGAATATTAAATTAATATAATCAAATAATAAGTAATCTGGTGTTCTTATTTTGTGTTTCATCTGTCTGTCAGTAATATGGATGTGTTCGTTGGAGCTCCTCTCTTCATGGACAGGGGCTCAGATGGAAAACTGAGGGAGGTGGGACAGGTAGGCACACACAGAGCATCCGTTGCATATGTGCATACATACATACTCATACTGTAAAAGTGTTTGACAGATTAGGTGAACTGTGCTTTCTTTGTTTTTTATTAAAGAAAGCAAATATATTTAGCTGGAAACTCATCAAATTTGTAAGAAGTAATTAGAAAATTAACAACTCTGTGCCGAAGTATGAAGCTATTTTAAAATAGTGCTGTCAGTGTTAATATTGTTAAAATGAAGTTAACAAGAGTTAGCTAAGGCGTAGGGCTGCACGGCATCAAAGCATGCAGCAAGTTAGCACAGATCGCCCCGTGCTAACTTGCTAATGGAGATTTGCCGCGTTACTGCAGTTATGGCGTTAACATCATTTTAATGAGATTAACGCTGGCAGCACTAATTTTAAAATATTAATACTGTAACACAAATTTAAGGCAAAGGGTAAATCTTTCTAAAATATGAGCAAAATATAAAAGATGTGGAGTTTTTTGTTAGGCTTCAGTTTGTTAAAACCGTGTGTGTGTGTGTGTGTGTGTGTGTGTGTGTGTGTGTGTGTGTGTGTGTGTGTGTGTGTTCTTCAGGTGTCTGTCTATCTTGGTCGGGGTGGATTTTCCTTCCAACCACCTCGGTTGCTCACTGGGTCCGAAGTTTACGCCAGATATGGCTCTGCCATTGCAGCGCTAGGAGACCTGAACATGGATGGCTACAATGGTAACAGAGAGCACCACAACACACCACCCTCTCCCCCTCCGGTGTTTTAGCTCTTTCTGTCTTTGTGAGGATAAAGTGAGCCACTAACCAGTTCAAGCCCCCACACATCCCTTTGATGATGAAGACCAGTTGAAACAGCGGTTTAAAACTGAAATTTGTCCACAGATACATATGTGTGGATACAAACACAGACACAGGTCCCTGCTGAAGTATACATGATTTAGTAAATGCATCAGCTGCTTTTCACCTTGACATCTACACAGTAGTTCTTTACCCACTCCACATCTCCCTCCACTCTTGTCCAGATGTGGCCATCTCTGCTCCTTACGGAGGCCCCAACCATAATGGCTTGGTTTACATCCATAATGGCAGCCCTCAGGGGCCCAAAGCATCACCATCCCAGGTAAATGCCACACCTGCCCCTTCCATTCACTGTGTTTATATACACTTTAGTTACCCGCTTATAGTTAGATTTCTACAGTAACTGGATTTTGTAAATGTTATATAGGTGACAACTTTTATTCTTTGTTTTCATTTTTAAGACTTCTGTTTAGTGTTTATGGTGTGAAGCGCTGTACACAGTGAAAATCCTGCCCACACTCTGAAGTCGTCACAGGCAAAGACTGCTGAAACCAGTGATTCTAACCTCACTGAAAATACAGCAAACATAAAGTTTTCACTTAAACTGGTTCACAGTTAGTCTGGGATTACCATAAAACCCTGATTAGACATTCAAAGAATGGCTGTAAGAACTATTTTAGTTATGTTTGTTTTTAGTTTCACTTTCAAATCAGCTGATTTAGATAACTGGATTCAGTTCTGACCACTGTGCAGCTGGTCACGTCGATGTGGCCTTCCCACATCCTCCCAGTCACGTTGGTGTGCTATAATTTTTAGCTGAAAGGACGTTTACTACTATAGCAACAAGAGCTCCAACATAAACTTTTAATTTGAAATGTTTGCCTCATCTCTCAGCGCCTGGAGGGCAAATGGGCATCCAGTTACATGCCCCCTAGCTTTGGGTACTCCATGTCTGGAAATACTGACATAGACCAGAATGGATATCCAGGTAAAGAGACACACACACACACACACACACACACACACACAGAAACGTGTACATGTAGAGAAGCACAGCAGGAGGCAAATGAATGTCAGTAGCTGTGCTGTGAAAAAGAGCTGATGTGTGTTTCTGCCCCACAGATTTAATAGTTGGAGTGTTTGGAGCAGACAAAGCCGTTTTGTACAGGTAATCAAATCCTTAATCTACACTGCGTGTGTGAGTGTGCTTGCCTGCTGTGACTGTGTGTGTGTCTGTAATGCTTCTGATAGAAGCTGATGAGTTTAATGAGCAAGGCCACCTCTGATATCAAAGAGCTGCTGTTTTCATTCAGCTCCTACTGGCTTTACAGATGCTATTAGGACACGTTCAACCTTCATCCCCGTGCTCATTTGTTTTTGTTTGTTAATATTTATGTACATATATATCCTAAATGTTTAATGTGAACCCTTTTCATACAGTCATACTCATTCATAACCGCTTAGAACAACCAGATGTGCATGGAGTGTTTCCATTGTTGAGGTCTTGAAACCAGATGTGATGAGTGAGTGGAAGGGTTTCTGACTGGGGCACTGTACGCTCAGCTGTCAATTGCAATAACTGCTTTCTAAAATGTACAGTAGAATCAGTGATGTAGATCATGCAGTCATTATGGAGAGACTTGTTGCAACAACAGCTGTCGACCCCCTGCTGGACATTAAGAAGAATGCAGGTTTAAGGCCTAGAACATTAAGTAAAAGTGTCCACATATTCACTGGAATTCCTAAACGCTTGTTTTTCTATACTTAATTTTCCAAAACAAACCAAATGCAGGACGAACAACAAGGTTTAAAAACAGCTTTGTCCCAGCAGCCATGGCAGCCATGTGACATGATGCTGTGTGGTTTTTAAATACTTTTGTCTGTCTTAATGTGTTCTGCCTTGAGCACCTTACAAGGCAATTTTTTAAATATACTTTTAAAAATCATTTGTAAAATGCTAAATGCTTGATTAGAGCTGTAACAGTCGATTAGTCTTTCATCAAAATCTTTCATCTTAATAAGCAACTTTTTTGTTGCTTGTATTGTCACTGACCTAACCTCGGTGTGTTGTGCATGTACAGAGCCCGTCCAGTGATCAGTGTAAATGCCACGTTGGACATCACACCCCTGATCATCAACCCTGAGGAAAAGAACTGCACACTGTCTAATACCAGCACACCTGTATCATGGTGAGCAGTCACATTTCTACTAAAACATGTACTTGTAGTCTTTTCTGACAGGTTTTTTCTTTTTCTTGTCAATACGTTCGGTTCGCCTGCACACATAAACACCTACAGTCATCCTTTGCTGTGCATTTTTGTCAATAACTGATTGAAACATCATTGTTAAACATTATTAGGGGGGACTCATGTGTTGTTTTTCAGTTTTAAGGTGAAGTACTGTCTGAAGGTCAACGGCCATAGGGCTCCAAACCTGCTCAGTAAGTAAATCTGCAGAAGCTACATCCGATTTTCCCTCCGCACAACAAGAAGAGTTGCATTAGTTGTGGCGGTGCAACATTCACATTTTGTCTAATAACTCTCCCAGCTTTCCGAGTGCACCTCATGTTGGACCGCTTGAAGCAGAAGGAGACGACTAAGCGTGTCTTCTTCCTGCACAGTGGCACCTTTCAGTACTCCAAAGACACGACCGTGTCCAACGGCAAAGGGCCGACCTGCGAGGAGCAGTGGGTCTACCTGGTGAGCGAGTCACACGGTTTAGGATCACAGGACTAACACAGGATGAAAGATGCTTTTAGAGATGCATGTTAACTGGATTTGTGACCACAGAGGTTTTCAAAGTTTGAAGGATAAAAGGAAAATGCTTCCCAGGAATGGATTTACAAACATGGCTCTTTATGTTTCCTCCTGCTCTGTCAGGATAATCGAGAGTTCCGGGATAAGATCACTCCCATCTCAGTGTCAATGGAGTACAGTATGAACTACCAGCAGGCTGCAGACAAAACGGGATTGCAGCCTATTGTTGACATGTCATCTCCATCCGAAATCAACAAACAGGTAAGTATGTGCAGCTTATTCAATGAATGAACAGCGATCTGTGACTTTTAGGGCCTTTGGTAGTCATGTTGGCATGTAGAGAATGATAGTTCACAATAAATTTTTTTGATAATGAAGGCTTTATAGTAGTTTGGACCAAACAATACTGAATGACTCCTTTTATTTATCGTTCTTTGATACTGAACATCTTCATCTTTGCTCTTCTCTCCATCAGGTTCATATCCTGTTGGACTGTGGGCCTGACAACATCTGCAAACCTGACCTCAAGCTGTCGGTTAAAAGGTGAGAAAACAAACTCAACCTAAGTTAAACCAAAAAGTTTTGCCAATGAAATCAGGACGGAAATTTAGGTTGAAACCCTCAGTTTAGTGTTCTTTGCCTCCCTTCAGTGACCGTGACCAGATTTACATTGGCGATGATAACGCTCTGACCCTGGAGATCACAGCTGAGAATCAAGGCGAGGGAGCCTACGAGGCCGAACTCCACATCTACCCTCCGCAGCAGGCTGACTTCAGCGGTCGCAGTCAGGTAATACAGACACCACTCCACTTTGCCCAGATTCAGGCAAAATCAGTTTAATGTTCACTTTGAAGTGAGGAGATACATTTTCCTGCTGCTGTACTTTGAGAAATAAAGCTGAAAAGTTCTTGCATTGGAATGTTTGTTCATAAAGTATTACTGTACAATCCAGTTCATCATTGAGCTGGTAATAATTCTTGTAATAATCAGTGATGTCTTATTTTTCTTAGGCCCTGTCTAGGCTGTCCTGCGCCTACAAGAAAGAGAACCAGACTAAAATGGTGGTGTGTGACCTTGGAAACCCCATGAAGGGAGGAACTAAGGTCAGTGATCGGTGCATGTAAAGACACACACACACATAGGAGTTGGTCCAACTGGAAGTTGATCAGAAGGGAAAGAAAACTTTAAAGCACATTTGATTTGCCCGAATAAATATTTGAATCAAATATATTGAACTGCAGCTTTAAAATCAGAATACGTCAGTAATGAAGTTTCGATTATTTTGAGTGACCTTTGTTCACCAAATCAAGTCTAGTGATGTCTGCTGGATTTTCTTGCATCCTCCTGCTCACTGATTGTCCCTGTCCCTGTGCTCTCATTGGTCAGATGGTGGCTGAGTTGGGGTTCAGCGTGCAACAGCTATCAGAGGACGACACATCTGTCCGCTTTGACCTGCAGATAGTCAGGTACGGAACAGTGTTTGGTCTCTTTGTTCTGACCCTGCTTTAACTCATCAAATTTAACCCATTTTGATATTTGATAGAAGCAAAAATACCCTGGATGCTACGCTTTTGTATAGGTGCTATAAATGTTTGTACACCGAGACTGCTCCTGGACAAATTCGACCTGAATCGGTTCAGATCAGGTGGATTTTAAATCTTGGGGAACAGTAAAACTGTGTAGGAGTGGTCATATGTGGTACACATAAGAACAAAGGTCATAACGAGGTCAGATGGTGCCTTCACACAGAAACAAGAGCTGTAATAGGGTGGTGGGGTGGTTAGGAAACAGGGCAAGAAGGTTCCTGGTTCAAATCCCAGCTGGGGCCTTTCTGTGTGGGGCTTGCATGTTCCTCCTTTGCCTGCTGGGTACTCCAGCAAAAATGCACGTGTTAGGTTAATTGTTGATTCTAAATTCAATTCAATTCAATTTTATTTATATAGCGCCAAATCAAAACATAAGTCGCCTCAAGGCGCTTCATAGATACAGAGAAAAACCCAACAATCATATGACCCCCTATGAGCAAGCACTTTGGCAACAGTGGGAAGGAAAACTCCCTTTTAACAGGAAGAAACCTCCAGCAGAACCAGGCTCAGGGAGGGGCGGCCATCTGCTGCGACCATGGAGCCATGGAGGTAGATAAAGTGCTGTATGAAAGTCAATGTGTGACTAGTAGAAAAATGCATTACAAACATTTCATTAGGATTAATCATCAGTTTAGTTTGGTTATTAGCAATGTTCCCTCTAATTTTTCATGTGTCTGAGTGAACAAACAAACTCCCTGAGCGGTCCCTCGGACCACTGTGAGCAACATTAGACGTGTGCACTGTGGTCACGCCAGCATCAAATCCATCCAAGTCACATGGTTTATTAAAATAATCAAATTACAGCATTTACGTTTATGTTAGACGACTTTTAAATAACTGCTTTAGCCCACTTACAATGAAAATTTTAAAAAATCTTGTTCATGACCTGTGTAGTATGTTCACACTATTGGAAGTAAGTAGTAGTAGTATGTTTTTGCTCACAGGCGGAGAGTGTTTTCGAGCGTTTTCCTTATAAAACGCAGTTTTTACCATTTCTTCCCGCAGTAAATATAAACAACGATGGTATTCAGGAAGAAAACCAAACATTAAAAATATTTTTATCATATCTCTGGTTTTACGTGACCTATCAACACGATTTAAAAACTGGTATAAAGTCGACACTTTTTCCGTCAATTGTTCTGTCTGTCCTGCTCACACCTCCAATGGTTGTACACGTTGTCATTAACGTGGCTTCACTCCACATCATCCACGCTGCTTTGCTAGCTAAAACACCGGTGTCGGCACATAAGGACGCTGTCATAGTCTGTCAACGACGTTGATTAGCTGCGTATATACGAATGTGAATCGCATCATTGGCTGGACTATGGGATAAGGTGGCATCGTTCTAATCCCATACGGGAGCAGCCAGTCACTCACTGACTCACACTGCAAAACAGAATTGTTAAAGTTTTAATTTTAATTTCAATTCAGGTAGATTTTTTTTTTTGTGCGCAGCACAGATTTTCTGTGTGCAGAGAGTGTGCCAGCAGTGCGCAATTGCGCAGCTTAGAGGGAACATTGGTTATTAGTCAAATGGGCTGTTTATACATTCTAAACAGATCTGTTGTTTAAAAATTGTTGTACACAATCACTATGATGGACTCTCTGGCCTTGGTCAAAATTGAGTCGAACTTACTTCGAAGGCCTGAAATATCAACAGTAGGTAATTCTGGGTAATTGTAATGAGTGCCGCATAGTGCCACCTACTGACAGCACTTCAGTTTTTGTTTTCTTTTTCATATTAGCACACAAACACTGGTGTATAGAGAGGCAAAAGTTACACAAAGACTAAAATCAAGGCTAAAATATAAATAAAGTTTTCATTTTGTCATTATGAGGAATTAATGGTAGTCTCAAGAAGTGTTTAAAATGAAGGATTTCAGTACATCCTGTATCCAGTGTGAAATGATAAGGACTCTGCTGTTATTCCAAGGACACAAAAGAAAATCAGGGTACAGTAGCATCAACACACCTCAGAAGGTTTAGCGTGATAGAAGCTAACTGCAATCAGACTGAGTGTTAAGCCCACTTAATTCATTAAAGCAGAGCTGTTTTCCTCGTCTCGCTCATCTGAATGACAAAAGCCCTGAAACTCTGAAGGAAGCAGCTCCGTCTTCACATTCTTCTGTGTTAGTGTTTTTGTACTTCTGTGGCAGAGAGAGAGAGAGAAGTATGTTAATGAAGGGTTTTCAGCAGTCTTTGGTTCGCCTCCTCTTCAGCTCATCGACACACTCGTACTGCACAGCAGTTTCACTGCTCCTTAAATGTGTGCCAGGAGATTTCTGAAGGCCGTTTCTCTCTTTTTGTCATCACCTTTGACATGTACAGATTAACTATGTTTTAACCTTTTCTCATATTCTTAAACTTTTTAAGGTAGTTATCTTTATTATTATCTGTTACATTTGACTTATTCCTGATTTATTTTTGATTTCTTTCATGAGCTCTACATTTTAGCAACTTTGTTGGTGATTACTGTATTTATTTGTCAGGTTGGAGCAACAGATTTTCAGTCAGTTAGTTGCAGTTGAGTGTTGTGATGTCTTTGATTTGCAGTATGGCACTGACAGCATTTTGTTCACGATAAGCACAAATGTAGAATTTAGCACTTTAGCATCAGGTTCGAACTTTTAATCAGGATTTTACTTTTTTTAGTATTTATTACCATCATTCACTGGACTTATTATTCAATAGTGGCTTTCATTTTATTTTATCTTTATCTTTATTTGCCTTTTTTATGACATATATCTTCTTTGAAATGCCTTTTAGATGCTTTACAAATAAGAATAGAGTAATCAATAAGTTGTAATATTTCTCCAGCCATTCATTCATTTTCTTCAGCTTATCCAATTTAGGATCCTTACATTAGAAATGTAACAGACTCCAGGACTGAGTTGCTGCGCATAAGATAGGGTTCTGGCAGAGCCTATCATAGCTGTCCTAGGACGAGAGGCACGGTTCCCCCTGGACAATTTGTCAGTCTGCCGCAGGGCTGAATCATAAAGACAGACAACCATTCATTGCATTCAGACCTGTGCGCAGTTTGAATTACTGATGTAACTAAACCTGGCACAGTGGTTAGTACGATGGCCTCGCAGCAAAAAGGTCCTGGGTTCAAATCCAGCCTCTACGTCTTCTCCCGTGTCTGTGTGGGTTCTCTCAGGTGACTCTGGCTTCCATCTACAGTCCAGAGACGTGTGCGAGGTTAGGTTATCTTAATAAGGTTAGATCATTGTATTCTGATGTTGTTTATTTTAACACATTTAGGGGTTAGGGATTTTGTTTGTTTGTTTGTTTGTTTGTTTGTTTTTGGTCATGTGAATGTGACTGTTTGTTGTTGATTTTTCAGCTCTAACCAGTTTGACAACACCAGTCCCAAAGTCACCAGCGTCATCAAACTGGCTGTACTCGCTAAAGTCTCCATCAGAGGGTAAAACGCACAGAAACACACACTGCTGCTCCTGAAGGTGTTTCTCTTTCTGCTTAAGAAGCTTCAAAAGAAGAGGCTGTAATTTATATGATTTTCCCAATAGTGTATTTAAATAATAATAATAATTGATAAGCTTGTTGCCTCATCTTTAAAAAGGGATGAGGCTTTAAAAGCTACAGAATTTGTACAACTATAAAAACAAAAGTGTTGACTACACCCTCGTTTAACTGGTATATCTCTGACTTTGAAACTTGCTTTAAAAACAAGTTTTTATGATTCCAGCTTCACATTGTTCCTTAAAATGTGTTTCCAGGTCTTCATCTCCTGGTCAGGTGTTTATTCCTATCGCCAACTGGAAACCGAGAGACCCTCCTGTATTCGGTGACGACATCGGACCACAAATAGTACACGTCTACGAGGTACAGACACACGTGCACGAACATGCGGGAGAGACGGGTGATTCTGTTTTTTTTATCTCACTGATTTAACTAAGACTGCACAAGATGATAATATTATTATTATTATTATTATTATTATTATTATTATTAGCAGCAAGCATAATGTAATGTAGGTCAAGCTGACCTCATGATTTCACAATGAATTATGCTATATGAGACTGTATTTCTTGGTCTCCCACCCTTTTGGTATTATTGTATAGTTCAACTGCTTTTTGTTTTTTGAAATGATTTATTAGAGCTTCACAGTCACAGATTTAATGCCAGTGGTTATTGAAAATATTTCTTCTGTATTTTTATTATTTATTTATTATTTTTATTTCTTTGGACTGAGATTAAAACTCCCCTTTCACAGCTCCTGAACAACGGTCCCAGTACGTTCAGTAAGGCAGCGCTGGAGGTCAAGTGGCCGTACCAGTTTAGAAACAGCTCTCTGCTCTACATCACCAGCTACGACACAGAGGGACCCATCAACTGTACCACTGACATACAGATAAACCCACTCAATGTCTCTGTAAGGCACACAAATACAGAAACAACACAAATGCACACCAATACTCAAACAGTTCACAACATACAGCTTCTTTCCACAGTTTTGTCAATTGTGATCTTAAAGGTACTTCTTCTAAATTTGTGCTTAAAAATATGACTATCACAACCATGGATTATCTTAAAGAGATCAGCTGACATTAAACTATTGCCAGGCTGTACTTTATACCACTTTGTACCAAAACATGCTGAGTCAGTTTAACCTTCAGTTAAGCGGCCACATCATCACAGGACACACCTGCTTACAGTGGTGGCGAGAGAAAAAGGCAAAGCCTCTTGAGGAAATGGGGTAGCTAAATCAAATGTTCAAAGTCAAACAGCAGCGCAGACCAACAAACATGTCAACACCAGCTGATAAAAAGCTGCCCTCTAGTGGTGAAAGTTTTTGTTGAATTCTTCAGTTTGTAATTAGACAAAGTAGCTTTAAACACCAATAAGAAGTATTTCTGCTGTTCCAATTAATAATGTGCTGCTGTGGCAGTGCTCCTTCTCTTACATGTTTCCAACAAATAAGCCTTTCTTTGTGTGTCTGTGTCTTTCAGAACCCAGTGAGCACTTCAAAGAACACCAGCACTGTTACGCCTGGAGGACGAGAGTCGGAGGGACGGAATCAAAACAGCGTCCGCCAGAGGAGAGATCTGGAGTCCAGAAATGCAGAGAATGACCTGCAGACACTGGTAAATCTACACAAGCACATATGCTTTGAATAACCCATTTGTATGACATGAAATTACACCTTGACTCATGCCTGATCGTGCTAAGAACAGCTGATGCATCCCAGCAGCTTTAGATGACATCTCCCAATCAAATTGCGTTCCTAAAGAAAAGCATTCATTTGACTCCTGCTGTGCTTCTCTACATGTAAACGTTTCTGTGTGTGTGTGTGTGTGTGTGTGTGTGTGTGTGTGTGTGTGTGTGTGTGTGTGTGTGTGTGTGTGTGTGTGTGTGTGTGTGTAGGACTGCCACACAGCTAAGTGTCTGACACTGAAATGTCAGGTCGGTCGTCTAGAAAGGAGGAAGAACGCCATCCTCTTCATCTACTCCAGACTGGATGTCAACAACTTCCTCAGGGTAATCAAATAAAAGCACCTATGTTAGGGCAGAGCAATGTTACTGAACACAGCAACCAGCTCTGTGTCTGTGTTCTCTTAAATTATAAATGCATGCTCTTTTCTTTCTGTTTCCTTTCCTGATTAACACAACACAACATGCACTGGTTTGGGTTTGCTGTGTGTCTCCATCATATTATTGTAGTGTCTTTACCTTACAATATAGAGCACCTCGAAGCAACTGTTGTTGCAATTTGGTGCTATGCAAATAAATGGAATCTAATCACACAACAGAACATGTGTGCAACGTCTTAGAAACAAAAGCTGGTCTTTATAAAGTTTCACTGTTGCACTAACCCAGTGATGGCTGCCTGTGCATCTATGGGTGCATTACATGCAGTGGTTGCTAGTAGCTAATCCAACATTCATAATCTGGACTTTTTGCCAAAATGTAAACAAATAACCAGAACAGTGTTGCCCAGACTGTCACATTTTTAAACCTCTGTCCTAATTTCTCTAATAGCTGAAGAACACATGTCTGTTGTTAGGTAATATCCATTCTCCAGGTCGTGATTTATCCTCAGCATTTTGGACTTCATTTGTCAGACATGTGACTTTTTTCCCTCCTTTCAGCCTGAGAATCAGAATCGTTCCTATGTGATACAATCAACGGCTAGCTTCAGTGTGATCGAGATGCCCTACAAGAACCTGGAGATGGAGCTACCATCCAATAGCACCACAGTAAGACACACAAACAGAAATGATCAGCACTGCATGGAAGACACAGAATTATCTACAAACAGAAAGTCAACACAAAATGCGTGTGCACATATACGGAGGTTTCATGAATGAAATACGTAGCAAACTAGTGACTTTAAAGTTATGGTTTTCTTCTGAAGTTCAAAGAATTTCACAGAAAGATAAACAAGCATACAAAACCTCTCAGTGCAGGAAGTCAGACTCATGACAGTAGACTCGTTATCAGCAAGGAGATGAAAAATAAGCTCTCTCACCTTGTTGTTACACAAACCAGTTCCTGTCTGCAGAAAAACAAAAAACAAAAGAAAAAATCTTGATTTCTGAATGAGCTCATATTTTCACATAAACTACATGAAATGTAATCATATAAACAGTAGGAGTCCCTTAATATTAGATTTTAAATCAGTCAGAGAAAACACATTCTTCAGTGTTTTGCTATAACACAGCAGTCTCTAAATCACTGATAAAACATGTTAGTGCAGGTCCACAGCGTGTTCGGAAGCACTCGCTGGCATTTAGACTCCCGACTCTTCGTAAAGATTATGGACCGTAGACTTAATGAAGCGTTGGAACAAGTTGATACCAGTCTTGAGGAATTTATTATAACAGCCTTAAAGGAACACAGATGGAAGGACAGTGCATATTTTAAAGAGTTAGATTGGTCATTTTATAACAGCATAATGACTTTAAGCTGATCAGGACGAAGTAAGTATGTTTTTGGTTTTGTCTCGTTTCAGGTGAGTGTATCAGTGGTTTGGGTGGCTGAGCCTCCTCCACCAGTGCCAGGCTGGGTGGTGGCTCTGGCTGTGCTGGCAGGACTGCTGCTGCTGGCGCTGCTTATCTTCATCATGTACAAGGTAGTAAACATGTCCATTGTCACTGTTCTTGTGCTGCTTTTTTCCTTTTTCCTAAGCTTCTGTAGTTTTACACTGAGACGTGTGTTCAGACGTTGCTCTTCTGTGTCAGATTAATGGCTGAAACACCACTTTCACTACCAAATATAACCGACTCTTGTGCCCTCTTTTCTTCTTCTTCTCCTGTGCAGTTGGGTTTCTTTAAGAGAGTCCGCCCCCCACAGGAGGACTGCATTGAAAAGGAGCAGCTGCAGCCGGAGGAGAACGGAAACACTGATGCCTAGATGTCAAACTGTGAGGGACTGATGGCAAATCAGTAGGGGGTGGGAAGAAATCAGGGTAAAAAGGCCTCTGAGAGCATTTCACTGTATTGACTGTTGGATGGCAGATAATGATATGATTTAAGATTTAATGTGCTGGTTTTATTTTTATTTTGTTTTTAAAAAAAAAAAAATGTCAACATGTATTTGTGCCAAAAGAGAATCTGGAAAACATTGATCAAACAAAATCCACAAAGTTTAGTGTTAAAGGAGCAGTTCGACGTTTCCTGAGAAGCTGCATCACAGTGTGTGCGTGATGGCTGAACGACGCTGATGTTACGAACTGCAGATGTTTTGTGAGTTCACACATACATTTGTTTAATTTGTGAGAGTTGCATGATCAGATTGCCTGCTTTAAAAATATAAAGCTACAGCTTGATTAGCTTACCTTAACATGGGACTGGGAACAAAGAAAATTCACCTCATCTTTTCACATTAATGATATTAAAAATCACAACTCTAAGTATTATATAAACATTTAATAAATGTTTTTTGTTCCCTAAAATCATTATTGATAAAATGTGTCAAAATGCTTTTACAAACTAGCTGTGAGAGCTAGCAAGTCGATCTCTTGTATTGTATTCAACATTTGAAAAATGCAGAATTTCATATTTACAATTCAAGCATTAAAAATTAAACAAGCTAGAGCATATTAGTGAACATTAAAGCTGCCAGGCAGATCTTGTTATCTCTTCACAGGACCACGCTAGCTGTTCCCTAGCCAAGCTAATCCACTGCAGTTTCATATTTAATATTCAAACACAAGCCTGTTGTCATTCTGAACATGTCCTAAACCGTTGAGCTATTCCTTTAACAAATCGAGAAACTTAATGGTTTTGTTCCAGCAGGCAGTTGAAATCAAAATTACAGTTTTCCAGAAGTTATAAGAAGCATAAACCACCTTAATTTTCACATTTTCCATCCAAACACAAATTCAGCAATGAGATAAACAGCCTTGTTGTTATGCTACACTTAAGTCATTGTTTTAGAGTTTCTAAGAGCAGTTAATTATTAATACAGCCAGTGATTATTATTGTATTGTATTATAGAATACCACAGACTGAATCAGTGGAGTTTAAATCAGCAAAGGTGCGCTATAAAAACACATTATCCCAGCTGAGACACAAGAAGCGTAAAACACCACAAACACAATAGCCAACTGATCCAAGCAGAGCATAAACAAATAACACATATGTCACAGTGATGTGCCATATTATCTTAGTATGGACTCAAATTATTACTACGCAAAACAAGTGTTTGTTTCATATGTGAGAGTATCGGCCGATATATTGAATTTTTATCAGTCGGGTTCCACTTGTAATTTAGTAAATGTTTTTTTTCTTTTTGTTTTAGTGACGTGATTAATTTTGATCAACCAGCAATGTAAAAACAAACAAAAACAAAGCAATACGGTAACTGAAGCAGCTAGTTAGCTGCATTCAGGTCTTTTTAGATGTTTCGGTAAAACTGGTTTATCTGCTGTAGCATGGGATGATGGGAAGCTCACAATAATATATTTGCCCTTATGTACGCTTGTTTTTTCTCTTCCTGCTTTGTGTGTGGGGTAGCTGATCTGCATTTCTCTTGTATGAGTTTGCTTTGGGATGTTGGTGGTTGTTTCCTTTGTATTTTGTACACAACATTAATTAGAGTTTTAGAAGTTTGTCCAACCTTTTTCAACACAATCAAGAAAATGTTTGGCCAAATGTAATTTTGTTTGTGCAGAAAATGGTTGAAAATCATTTTAAGTTCTGTCTGATTAGTCAGTCCACAGAAGCCTCATATCTCGCATCATTATGTTGAAGCTGATCTTATGTTGTGTCTCTGCAAGCAAAGAGCTGTAACTGGCTGAGAAAATGTTTCAGGCTGTATGGAAACCGGTCTATATTTGCCATACATTAAATGCATTCTAGATCCTAACAAGTATTATTAAATGAACAATTTCAGTTATTTTTCAAGTGAATAGATAAACTTAAAAACATTTTTTTTGGATTTTTATTTTTATTTTTAACCTGACCAATTGATGAAAGTATTAAAGTATTTAAGACATTACACATTTTAATGTTTAAGATTTGTCAACATGTGTAAATACCTTCAGTCAGTGGCTAGAGCAACAGCAATAGTAACTATGGGGGTGGAGCTTAACAGACTATTAGTAATTCTAACCTGGCAAAGTACGGGCTGTTTTAGTGTTAGTGAGCTGCGACTTGAGTGTTGACCAGTGTGTGTTGACATGATCGATTGGATTGTGTATTTGCAAGCATGTGATTGGTTCATGTTTCATTGTAATCACTAGTTGAGGCCCGTTCAGCTCACACAGCAACAAGCATAGAGTTTTATTGTGTAGTTTTAAATCACAAACTTCTTTTTAAAAAGACTTGTAGTCCTTTTCACTGAATTGGTTGTGACAGTTTTTCCTGCACTGAGGCCTTTTGGATTTCTACTTATTTACATTCAGATTTCAGACTGGCAGCTTTGCTGGGAACAAGTTAAAACAAACGCAGGTTTCTACTTTGTGTTTTGAGTATATGATTGCTCTAATACTTAAGAAAAAAAAAAAGAAAAAAATACTTTGCTATTTACCCATATTGGGTTCGCATTATAAATTAATGTTTATAGCTGATTATAGGTTTACAAATATAATAATGCAGGTAACATTCATCATAAAATAACAGGAAGACTTTAATAAGCACATTATACATTGTTTTCTTTCAGTGGCATCTTAACCAATACTTTGAACCAACTTGTCCTACTTGAGCAAAGAGTTGTGTGTTTGTGTCGGACGGCACTTCTTAACAAATGAGTGATTTTGGTATGAGGATTGATCTTAGGTCAGTGCTCTCATGCGGGAGATAAACTGAGCGGCTTCACTGCACTGTTCATTTTTTCTATAAAGGTTTTCTAAGGTTGATTGTGTGTAAATTAGACCAAAACAGCATGTTTCTCTTTGCCAGGAGTCAGTTGGACAGAAATCTGTTCATTTCAGTATCAGTCATTTCAAATTACTCAGAAAAGCTGCAAATCGCTAAAACATTTATTTCTGTCCTAACATCTTTGATATGACCTTATTATCAGCACCGTTGTCCTGAGCGATGATGCAAAAGCCTTTGGTGAGTAGAGGAGTTTGTGTTAAATATGGAGGAATAATAAAAAAAAACAAAGCCTCCTGGCAGATACGAGTGATTTGCAGCCAGTCATTTGTATTTAATATTGCTCCGTGTTTCTTTCTGCCCTAAGAAAATATTGACTATTTTTGATGTATGTATTCTTTCACATAGAGAATAAAACAATGATTTCATAAAGAGATGATTTTACCTTTAAACTAAAATAAACTGATTTGTTCACATCTGTTCAGTGTTTTGTGGTGATCTCTTCTTTTTAAACCAGGCAGCCTTTTACAAATGTATATACGAATATTGCATTTAAATCACATCACCATGTGTAAATTGGAAGGAATTTGTACTTTACAGACTTAATGGTCAATTTTTGTTTTAATTTATTCAGGTTTTTGCACAAGTTGCTAAAAAAAAAATACTAGATTAACTTTACTGGAGAGACACATTAGATGTTTCCTTAAAATCTTTATTCTGTTCCAACCAGAAACATTGAAAACTTTGTGCTCCTCGTCTTGCTTCCATTTGACCGATCATTGTGCATCAGTTAGCAGGAAGCTAAGGTCACTGCCTGGCTCATACTCCACTGTGGGCTTTTTCCTGAAACACATAATTATACACAAAAAGAAAGCATTTATAAAAATCCTGCTGATATTTTCTGGTCACTGGAATAACTCAACTTGTTTCGCGTTCTCAAATTGTGTGTTTGTTCTACTGATGATGTACACACCCTGGTTACACAGCCGCATTGCTGGGATGCTGTTTAGATTTAGTTAAGAACATGTTAACATTAAACTAATTTTGTTTTAGTGTAAGGCTAATAAAGGCTACAGTCGATTAGAAAGGAGATTGGATAAGTCAGTGTGATGTCATCTCAAGTCATGAAAACTTAGTGTGTTACCTGGTGAACAGTCTGGCCTTAGTGGTTCCCAGCAGTGTCGCTTTGTTTCCCTCCACTAGCAGCAGGGAGCCCTCCCTCAGACCCTGACAACAAACAAAAAAGACGGTAATTTTCTAATGAAGCCGCTTCATCTTCTCGGCATGAAAGATTTAAGCACTATTACATGTATGCAGGTCTGCTTCCCCTCACTTACCAGGACACACGGAGTATTGGGTTCTTCGTGGTACTGGATGATCCTCTGCTCTCTGGTTTCCTACATGAAAACAAGATTCAAGATTGTAAGCACAGTGGAAACAGTGGAGGCTGAAACCACAGCTGAAATATAACTATTGATGTGACAAAATGTTTAAAATAACCTCGTCATTCACTCTTCTTTTTAACAAGAAATAAGGACAACTGCTCATTGGTGACAAACTGTCCTCAGTTAATTCAGCAAGTGTATTTTAATAACAGCATTCCTGTTTTGCTGAATACCTGCTGCTGTGACCACATTACAATGACAGAAGAAAACCCAAACCAAAGGGGAAACTCGGGGTTTAGTATCTTACATGGACGACTAGAGGAGCTGGGAATTGAACCGCTGACCTTCCAAACAGATGACCCAGTGTACCTCCTAAACCACAGTTGCTCATGTCTGTTCAGCTAAATACTGCTCCCAAATGTGTGATGATATTAAAATAAATTATAAACATAAATAAAAACTAAAATATTTAAAGATACAAATCTAGGTTTATTAACATTTGTCACTGTTGCAATCACCAAGAGTGACCACCAGGGGTCGGTGGACACAGCAATATATCTTTCAGAAAATAAATTTGTGCTTTATCGACGCAAATATTTTTATGAAGTGATTGTTTTTCCTTTGTGATTCTTCTCACAGCTGTTTGTTAACAAATGCTAACAACTGCTTGTCAATGTAAATCATTTTTCCAGCACAAAATGCAATTATTCTTCAGTTCTTTTCTAGTGTCAGGATTTGGATTTTGTTTTGTTTTGTTTTTCTTCTTCTTCTATATCATTACAGCATCAGAATCATTTCACTATGAAATGTATGCAATAACAAAACTCATACTCCAGACTTCACCTTACCCTCTGACAGCTTGCACTGAGCAAACCTTTCCTGTTTTCTGACACTTTTACCATCTGAACAAGAAATGATGAAAACCACCCTTCCATGAACGAAATTTACACCTCAGGAACGTTTTTTAAACCATTTAAGAATAATAGTTCGTGTTCTCCCTTAAGCTGGACACCAGATGCTTGCTGCCACGCCCTGTAGGTAGTGCAACTGCTACCCCATGGCCTGGCTCTATGAATTCAGTGTTTCACAACCCTCAAACTAAACATTGCATGTCATCACATTGGTCAGAGCTACCCTAAATCGCTTTGCTGACACTGCAGCTTTTTTGTCAGCTGTTGCAGTTTTACAGCTCTGAGTGTTGCATAATTTCCTCAGGCTGTTTTATCACGTGTTAGCTGGAACTCATGTCAGTCAAACCTTCTGCAAATCATCTGTCCCTTCATGCAGATTGTTTATAAACCCTTAAGGTCTAGAATGCATCCAGTTTAGGCTGGAGTCCAGTCTTGGTTATTTCCTACTGTGTCTCCATTCGTTTCTGCAGAGATACTTAATATGACCACAAAATGCAGGTAGTGCATAATCATTTATTAAAAAGATTCCCACTGGTGTTATCGTCTTTCTCCTAACTATCATTCTGTGGCATGAAGTTATTAAGTAATAAAGAGCAGATATATCCATTCATCTTCTACGGTCCAGGTCAGAGGGGCTAAGGTCTCAGCAGAGAAGCCCAAAGCTCCCTCTACTCACCCACCTCATCCACCTCGTCCCAGGGAGACACGGAGGTGTTCCGAAGTCGAGAGATATAATCTCTCCAGTGTGTCCTGTGTTTGCCCTTGGCTCTTCCTGGTAGGACATGTTTGTTATACGTCATCTTGGAGGCATCCTAATCAGATTCCTGTACCACCTTAATTGTCTCCTTTCAAAGTGGACGAGCAGTTGATCTACTACTGCAGATTTACTGAGGTCCAAATTCACTCAGTGTAAGGCGACATCCTTTTAAAGCCGAGCGAAAAACCTCCATGGCACTTCCACCGTTTCACTGTTGGAGCTGTTTCAACAGCTTAATTATTTTATTTACATATTACTCATAGTGCAAACATGTTGTTGCTTTGTCGCTTCCAAACATATCTGCTTATCTCTGAGCAGAGGGCAGCCATAAAGCAATGTTAGAGTGTTACTTATAACACTGATACGGCATACAAGCGACAGCTCAGTGCAGTAATCATTTTCTTATATCTGTCAACCAGCTAGCAAAACAAAGACTCCTACATCGTTTTTCACTGATGATTTTTAACCTCGGGCTCGTAGCAGTTCGGAATTTTGAGTAGTTGTAATACTCCCAGTATCTCTGATCAGTTTCATTTATCTATATATTAGTGAAGGCTTTGCAGTGGACTGTGGCTGGAGTGTCTGCAGCAAGAATTTCAGCTTCATCTAGTAGCAGTGTAAAGCAACAGAAAATAGAAATCCTCAAAAACAAGCATCCAAAGCTCTACTTGTTATAAAATATATAGTTATTTCCAGCTCTGACAATCAGTAACTCTGATTATAAAACTGATTATTTGCAGAGACAAAGTCTAGACTAACCTGGCCTAACGGCCTCCTCACAGCAAACAGAACCTCAGGCTGTGCGACTCACCCCCATGTGGCGGCTGGTGCGGTCGGCGTCCAGGTAGTGCGGGTTGATGTTGAAGGGGACGAGGCCAATGGCAGAGAAGGACGGAGGGAAAACAATGGGCATGTCGTTAGTGGTACTGATGCTGATGGTGGCCACATTAGTGCCTGCACTGGAGCCCATGTAGGGGACACCATCCTGGGCAAGGATTTAAAGAATGTGGGAGTAAAGAAAAGGGAGACAAGAAGTAGTCATACTACTTAACTAAGAGCACACAGGAATCATTGGTTTAATTTCTTTTTAATAATCAAGACAGAATTTTTCTGCAATTATTTTTTAAAGAATCTAATCGATTTGGTCTGTTGTTTATGTGCATATTAGAGATGGCACGATACCACTTTTTTATGTCCGATACCGATACCAATATCATAAATTTGGATATCTGCCGATACCGATATGAATCCGATATAGTGTTTTTTAATCAACAAAACTGTTTTTTAAAATATCTTGCTGCATTTTGCAAGTCTGCAAGTTCATACTCAAGTTTAAAACAACAACTACACTAAAGCTATTCTGTTATACCTGTATGCAAAAAAAAAAAAAAATTTCATAGTTCAGCAATACTGATCAATCTAATAAACTTAAACCTACACCATCCTCCCTATTCTGGTATTTTAAAGAGTACTTAGCGTGAATATTAAGCAACCTAACTAATAGGGTTCCAACTCCCAGCAACAACAAAATTAAATAAATAAAAAATAGGGAACCACCCCTCACGCTCCACCTCATGATGCTTAATCGACGTAATCAACCTTAATTTGATGCAGTGTGAAAAAAAATGCACAGAAATCAATTATTTTTCAAGAAATATTAAATAGATTCAACATCTTTCTTCAACAAAATTGCAGACTGCACAGATGGTACCTTCCCAAAGTAAAAAGTACTATAGCTTACTAGGGTATATATATTAGACTTAATAGTCACTATGTACAGTAATTGACTTCTATTCATTTTACATCAAATTAAAACTTTGGGTGTCAGATAATTATTTATTAAAAGCTAGACATTTTAAATGAGAATAAGAAAGAAAAGTGTGTCTTTGTGCCCCTTTTCCCAGTTAATGCCCTATCGGCCCCCCTGGCTAAACTTTGCTAGATCCGCCCCTGCACAGTTACCAGCCGTCAGCTACGTAGAAAAAGATCCTTGAGTAGAAAGTAATATTAAATAAATTCTAACAACAGCTTATCAAGCTTAAACGTGCTGCTGTTGTTCAGCCGCTGGTTTGCTCTTTCTGGCGCAAAGTGGACCAAAAACAAACGAGAGACAGACTCGCGACAGAAAAGCCGATCAGCTGATTTAAGCAGTTTCACGATTGAAGTAGCAGCCGGAGAGCGAGAGGCAGTCGCCGGGGATAACTTTGTCGGAGATGAAATGCCAGGTTGCTAGCGAAGCTCCAAATGCTATCCAGACCACCGACAGGTCCTGCATGCCATAGCTGCTCTATCACGTGATGCATACGCTCTGAGGTGAGTTACGGCATGTTGCAAGTTTTGTGAGGTGCTTTCGTGATATTTAATGGATCGGATTACATTTTTTATTTTTCTCCGATATCCGATCCAGTAATTTAGGTCAGTATCGGA